ACATAACGCGTATTGGGCGTGAATCCTTTCCGAACTATGTCACAATTGCGAATCAGAGATAACAAAACTACTTTAGCGACCAATCCACCAGCAATGCAGCTAAATCTAACATAAGCGTTTTAATAACTGTTATAACGTTTAATTGTGCAAAGTTATCACGAGTTGTTCGAAAACCACACAGATTAAATATGAATAATTGCTTTTATTTACAAGGGTATATACAAGGCTATATACAAGACTATACACAAACACACCAGGATCAAAACAGAACTGTCGACGAAATTAGCATTGTTCTACAAATATCACCGAGAATTGTCTCTTGCATAATTATACTGCATCGGGAGACTACTTTCTTGTCTCCAAAGAAATCGCCGGGTCCACCCAGGAGTACTACGACTGTAGAAGATGCTCAGCTGACGAGACGGTCAGTATCCGTAATGTGGGAGAGGGTCAGTATCCCGACCAATAGCCACCTGAGTTAGCGACCTTATTCAGGCAATCAGGCATGCTTTCCACAACACTTTGACAAACTGTGCCTGATCTCAGGTTCTCCCAACGACCATGCACGACTTGCCAAAGGTCGCTGGGAGTCGACGCCTGAATAGGTTTGCGAACTATCTCGCTCCAAATGTTCTCGATCGGGTTCATATCAGCCCCTCTCCCAGGCCACTGCATGTCCTGCACCTGAGGATGTGCTTCCATCCACTCTGTTGTGAGTTTGGCTGTATGGACCGGGAGGCGGTCATGGAGGAACCAGAATGGGTCTTCGCCGTACACCGCTGTTACAGTTGGCACCAGCACGTCTTCCAAAATCTGCACATACTGTACAGCGTTCAGGTTCCCGTCGACCATGACAAACTCTCTTGGCCCTGCGGCACACATCCAACCCCAGGCACCTGCAAACAGAAAAGTCCACATACAGGTTGTTCTGTATAACACATGAAAATTCCGGTTTAAAACAACAAATTAATAGCCTGCAAGGCTAATGACAAATACACAAATTATGAATACTCACATAACGAAAATCGACCGCTTCGTTGGGTGCGCCACACGTATTGCTCGTCGTAGCGTGTGGACGGCGGGCAACGCACCCAAACGGTCCCGCTACTCTCGGAGCAGAAGACCTTTTCGTTTGAAAAGATGACAGCCGACCAGTGGTCGGCTGTCCAATTGATGTGGTCTTCTGCAAACCGTAGCTGGTCACGTTTATTGGCTGGGTTCAGGTTTTGCTTTTGTGCTGCTCTTCTGCCAAACAATTTGTTTTCTCTCAACCTATTAATGAAATAAATATATATGTAATATCCTGCTTTCTACATTTCTGTATATGCAAGAACATGTTACTAATGTATTGGAAGGACGTGTGACTACTATCATACAAATGTTACATACCGTCTTTTTACAGTGTCGTTTGACACATTCAGGTGCAGTTGCTCTCGGAGCATGGGGCCATAGCGAACGGATCCGCCCGACTGGTCGACGCCAGCTGAGCATCTTGTTCTGCAGTCATACTCCTAGGTCGGCCCGTCGACTTCTTTGGCGACAGGGAATTCGTCTCTTGATACAGCTTAATGATTCGAGAGACAGTTCTTGGTGAGATGTTAAGGATGTTGCTAATTTCGGCGACAGTTCTGTTTTCCTGGTTGTGGCGTATAACTAGCGCTCTTATGTCTTTACTGACTGGTTTCGGCATTGCGAAGGACTTACTCCAGGATGGTTGCAAAGCCTTCTTATACTTGTCGCACCAGATATGAATGCACCTGTAATGGTAGATAGGTGCGGACCTACAAATTACCATGTCTGCATGCACAATACCGATTAATCCGCATTATATTCTGGAATATTTGGAATATATCGTGGATTACAAATATTTGTGATATATCGTGGAATACAAGTAAATGGAATATATTGTGGAATACAAATGTTCCACGATATAATGCAGATTATTCGGTATTGTGCATGCAGACATGGTAATTTGTAGGTCCGCACCTATCTACCATTACAGTCGCATTCATATCCGGTGCGACAAGTATATGAACGCTTTGCAACCGTCCTGGAGTAATTCGGTCGCAATGCCGACATCAAGCAGTCCAGATATCAGAGGCCTTCGGATTGCAATGACAATTTCTTTTCGTCAAGAAACATTTCTTGATTATACACAGTTCAAGTTTGCAACAACGCTTTCATATCTCTACATCTTTATTACATATATGTCAATAAAATATATTGGCATCTTATAAACAGATCTTATTGTATGTGAATATGTTTTCATTATATCAATTAAATATTAATATTATAATCAAATCGAGCTTTGTATAGTTGGTGATTACTCACGGATCACATATGTCATTTGTTTCATTCTATACTACTTACGTAATAAATAGTTTTATATCATTTAATTTCTTTTCGTATGTTTTTAATTATGTTTTATATTTAACGTGATCGAATCTACGAATGGAAGCTTCCCAGGCATCACATAGAATTTTTACGGGAAAGACATCATTGCAGGCATGAAGTTGCCTGTAAAGTTGTTTATCCGGGAAAGATGCCAATCAGAAACCATTGTCCACGTATTACAAATAGGGTTTCTCAAACGGGATCCCGGTTGTCTTTTTAAACCGGTTATTTCCCGGGAAATTTGTCTCATCCGGGGATATCCCGCAAATTTTTTAAAAAGTCACTTTTTTCTGACTGTGTTACGATTGAGGAAATTTGGTAAATAAAAAGCATAATTAACTCTGAAACTGTCAAAATGCATTTGTTTTTATTACTTTTAAACTTACTTATTATATTTTAAACATTTTTGCTGGTTATGGCATGTCACAAATGGTCAATAATCATTGCGTAGATTACTTGTGGCAAGACTCTCAAAATTATTTACGTGTAATGTGGAATAACTGCTTACTCTGTCCTAATTTTTAACCATGCCCAGTAGCTTCAGTAACTGCGTAGTGCCAAGTTGTGCAAATTCGGCAAGGATACAAACGAGTACGAAGTCTGCAAGTATGAAGTTTCTCCTCTTAACCAGATTATTAAAGACAAACGAACTGCCGACTGATTGGGCTATGATGTTTCTATTAAAGCAGTCGAGGTAGACAAATCAAGAATACTACAGAACAAAAGAAATACTACAATCTCGAAAATGAACTAGAAATCGTTCAGGATACTGGTGAAAAACACACAATGTTTGTCTTCTCTTAAATGCATTAAACACAATTCCACTCACATCAATTGAATCGGAAAGGCCATTCTCGGTAGCAAGGCTTTTTATTAATAAAGTAAGAATTACATTGAGTGATCGGAATATTGGCCGTCTTTGCTTTATAAATCTTGTAAACATTTACAATATTTTCTATTATATTTTATTTAAAAACGAAAAGTAATTTTTAAGTTAGAAGTTTGATCTAAGTTCATATTTTAAAATTTTTACGTCAATTCAAAGAGTATTGTTGGTGGTGTTGTATGCAGTTTCCAGCAAACTGTATTAATTTTTTTTATTTGTGAACATTTCTACGTTATTCAAAGGTAATTTTTAATATACATCTTACCCAGCATTATTAATATGATTTTTGCGGTTCCAGAACATCATAAGTTACTTTAAAAAACGAAAAATAATTATATCATTTGATTACACGATATTTTGTATATATGAAAAATAATTAATTTTGTCCCGGGATTTCCCGGGATCCCGAGTAACAATTCCCTTTTATCCCGGAATCTCGGGACAAGTAAAAGACCGGGTAAGGAAAAACCCTAATTACAAATAATAAATATGCACACTTTTTTAAATTTCTAATGAAAATGTTTTAATTAATCAAAAGGTATACGTGTTTTAGCGCATGATTTCGAAAGAAGCTTTCTAATGAAGGGGTTAATGTGCATTGCTGGCAGATTGGTCATTTACATATATTTGTTATGTCTGATTTGCAATTCAGATGTAGTTCGATAACGATTCACGGCCAATACGGTTTATGCAGGGTGTGACATACACGAATGTCCAATCAAGCAAGTAGAACAAGGCGTGGCTAACACCTTTTAACAAATCATGTTCAAGGATATTTACCATTGTTTTATTGGTTAGTAACAGACCAATACACTTCGTGTTTTGTCTCTCAACTTGAAAAACTTAATCAGTACGCACTTTAAACGTGACAACACATAAACGGAAAATACATTTAACGATATAAAACTAATTTTTACATATTTACAAGGAGTATAGAAGTAAAGAAATGAAATAATATGTTATCCGTGAATATTAACAAGTTATAAATGGGTCAATTCGAATATAATATAAATATAAATACAATATAATAAAAAAAAATCGCATACAATAAGATCTGTTTATAAGACAGCAATATATTTTATTAGTATATATATAATAAAGATGCAGAGATATGAAAACGTTCTTGTAAACTTGACATGTATAATCTATAAATATTTCCTGAAGAAAAGAAATTGTCATTGTAATTTTAATTCTTAAACTTCGTAAAAGTAGAATTTAAAACAAATCGATTTAAAACGTGATAAAAACAATTTTATAACCGAAGCGGAAATAATTTATAACAAACGCATTAAAAGTAAACAGTTCGGACAAAACTGATGTAGCACAACATTCTGCTCAATACAATTAATCAGTAACCTTGACATATGACCCAGTTCTGACAGGGAAGGGAGTTGTTGTTTACTGAGTAATATGACACTATGCGCATTGTTGTCATTAACAGCGGGGAGTGGGTGCAGCTGACTTGACACCCTGTTGTGAAAGCAATAAACTTTAACTGATCTTGACAGACGTGTCTAGTTACTAAGAATAACAAGTGGGGAGCAGTTGTTTAAAGGGTAATAAAGCACTTCGCGGTTCATTGACTCTCCCCGCTCTACTGACATTACCGCAAGAGCAACAAACAATTAACAATGGACTTTGAAACAGGGTCAATTCCTATCCGATTACAAAGGAGCCGACGACAATGAGGGAAAGTGGAGATAATCTAGTGGCATAGGAACGGAAGTACCACGGACAATTTAGTAAACCTTGAAACATCTGTACGCGAAGCGTTTGTTAGACGACAGCACTTAGTGTGTGTATTTTTTGATATAGAGAAGGCCTACGATCGCTGCTGGCGATATGGAATACTTTGTGATTTGCACAAATTTGGATTGTGTGGTAATTTGCCAGCTTTTATAAAAAACTTCCTGCAGAATCGAAGATTACAAGTCAGGATGGGCATCACTTCATCTAGGCCTTTCACGCAACAAGAAGGTTTTCCTCAAGGCTCTATTTTGAGTGTGACTCTGTTCCTAATCAAAATCAACAGCATAGCTAACTGTCTTCCTCCTAGTGTAAAACACTCTTTGTACGTGGATGATTTTCAGATCTCCTGCCAGTCTAGTAATAGGAGTTTCATTGCGAGACAACTGCAAACCTTTCTAAATCGCATAGACAACTGGTCCAAGACCAATGGTTTTACTTTTAATAAAGAGAAGACCTCATGCATCCACTTTTGCCGAAAGCGTGGTATGCACCTGGATCCGGAAATTTACCTAAACGGGGATAAAATTCCAATGGTGAATGAGGCTAAGTTTTTGGGTGTTTCTTTCGATAATAAACTGACATTTTTGCCACACTTGCGCAACCTGAAGAGTAGATGTTTAAAATTTTTAAACCTTTTAAAGGTACTATGCTGCTCATCCTTGGGAGCAGACAAAGTTTCGATGCTCAGGATTTATAGGGCCCTTGTTCGCTCTAAGCTGGACTACGGTTGCATTGTTTATGGCTCTGCGCGAGAATCTACTCTTCGGATGCTGGATCCAATCCTCCATCAAGCTTTGCGTTTGTGCACCGGTGCATTTCGAACTTCCCCTGTTCAAAGTTTGTATGTGGATGCTTATGAGCCTCCACTATCACTCAGGAGAGAACAGTTGTCTCTTTTTTATTACATTAAACAAAAATCTCAGAAAAAACTTACAGCTGATTGTCCAGATACTCAGCTGAAAAGATTATTTGCCGCTCGGACGAGTTGTGTCCCTACATTCGACATAAGAATGGAGAATGTAAGCAGCACGATTGACCTAGACACAAGCAACATCTCACATGTTGAGGTTAATAGTATTTCACTTTGGTCAACTTCACCGATTGATGTTGATTTAAGCTTAAAGCAGTTCCCTAAAGAAACCATGCCAGACTACGTCTATAGACAGCACTTCGCAGAAATTCAGCATTGTAACAGGAATTCAATTCCTATATACACCGATGGATCTAAATCGGATAACTATGTTGGCTTAGCTTTTGTTTGCCAGGATGAAATTGTGGCAGAACAAATAGCACCGAATTCTTCCATCTTTTTTGCGGAGTTGCAGGCTATTTATTTAGTTTTAAAGTATATAAATCGGAAAGGTGATCGTTGCTGCGTGATTTACACTGACTCAGTTAGTGCACTTCAGGCTTTGATCTTGTATGAACGTAGTTCGCACTCCATAGTTATTAAAATTCAAAAACTAATTTGTCATCTCACTACGAGAAATTTTTTTGTGAAGTTCTGTTGGGTACCAGGCCACGTGGGTATAAGAGGTAATGAAGAAGCTGATACAGCCGCTAAGTCAGCAAGTCCTTCACAGCATACAATGCGTATTGAAGGAGGTCATTTGAAGCTAGTCGTTAAAAAACGACTAGCAGAGAGATGGCAAAATGTGTGGAATGCACAAATCCACAATAAACTTCACGAGATCAAACCTTTGGTAGAAAATTGGACACATAGTAGGCAATATGATAGGAGATCTGAGGTTATCCTTACTCGTTTGAGAATTGGACACACTCGACTGACTCATCAATACCTTTTGAAGGGAGATGACGAACCAGTATGTCAGCACTGCAACTGTGCTGTAAGTGTTAAACACATATTTTGCAACTGTGTTGCTTTTGATCAGATTCGTAGACAGCATTTCGGAAATGCAAGCTTTAGAGACATTTTGGGCCAGAGGCCAAATCTGGATAATATACTGGACTTTCTGAAAGTCATTAATATGTATAGAGAAATATGATGATTTTATTATTGTATAGTTTTATTTACTTCATGGTGCATATTTAAATTATTGTATATATTTATTATTATTTATTTATTTATTTTTCGTTGTTGTTTATTTATTATATTTTAGATTATATATATATATATATATATTACCATTGGCCTTTGAATGGTTAGACTGTTCGGTAAATATGTGTTTTCCTATTTACTGTATTTTGTATCTTCAATCATACCATGTGTCATGGTGCAGTATAGCCTGCATGGCTTTTATGCCAATAAAAATTAACTAACCAACCAACCAACCAACCAACGACCTGATCTGTTTATTTTAAAGCTGTATCGTTTTTAATTACAGAGAAATAAACGTAAATAAAACGAAATAAAGAAAGAGAAGTGTGCCGATAACAGATTCAATCGTAATTCGTGCATTTGCAAGCACATTTACGACTTTAAAATAAAAACGCCGATGCTAAGCATTAGAAAAGCGTTGAGCGATTAGTATTATCGACATACGGTGCTATTACGCGTCATTCCGATCGATTTCCGCGCCCCTATGGCGCGAAATCGGCACAGTCCACCTGGAACGTCATTGCTGACAGGTAGCAAGCTCTGACGTAAAAAATGCGCATCTTCCTGAGTTGCGCAGTCGTCTCGCGCATAGTCAATCATTTTGCGCTGAGCTGGTACAGTACCTTCTCCAAATGTTCTCGTAATTGATGAGAAGTAAAAAATCCTTTCAGAGCATGTGGTCTCGCGACAGAATATAGTCTTTTTTTCCACAATGACTTGCTTATGAACTAATCTTACATGCTTGTTAAGCCTTTCTCCTCGAAAGGAAATCTTATCCCAATAATAACAAGTATTTTCTATATCGTTCAATGCAGTAATATTCTCCATAGCGATTTTTTAGCTACAACTGTAGCAAAAATAATTTAAAAGCAATTATCAATGATAAAAGATGAGTTTAAAACTAAAATATTGACAAAAGAAAATTTCATAGACACCGTACAGCACGAGGTACAGACAATCTGAATGTCACGAAACTAGTGGTATCTCGTAAAATCCAGAACTACGGCTACGGAATCGTTCTGTAATTAGACGTCAGTTTCCGGAAGGGCGGCCATGATTGTCCCAGATAGTAAACTTAAACCAAATACAGTAGAGCGTCGATTTTTCGAATCAATTGGGGACTGGGGTTGTTCGGATAACTGATTTACGTACGAAAAAATAGTTTAACATATCCAATGTCGAAATTTTTATCTGTTGCGTGTCGCTTCGCATTGAATTTTCGTCGATGTTAAGCCCAACAAAGACTATTGTATCGTTAAAAATTATTTTTTTTATTTTGTACAAACAAAAATAAATATATTGAAAAATATAAAAATAATAAAAAAAATATACTTCAGATGTTAATTTAGTATCAAAAACGTAAAATATTTGAGTAGCCAAGACATAGCCATAGATTGAAGCGCCACAGTATTAGCGAAAATTTAAATTTGCCGACTGGAATTCTTTCAGATGATTGACTTTCGGAAAATCGACGCTCTACTGTATATGTATATATACAGTAGTACCTCAGGATACGAAATTAATTCGTTTCGAAACTGAAATCGTATCATGAAAATGTCGTAAGGTGAATCATTTTTTCCAATATGATTACATCTAAAACCAAATAATTTGTTCCAACACAAAAAACACTCAAATTAAAGCTAAGTAGTACATTAAAAAAACTACAGTAAGGAAAACACTGAAAAATTCGTTTTGTAGTTGTAAATGTATAAATAACCATAATAGAATAATAATTGATTTAAAAAATGTAGTTTTATTTGCACTTTACCTTTGAGGATACACTACGGTGAAGGTGTAAACTGGTGGCAGAGGAGAGGGAGAAGGGAAATGATACTAAAACTTAACTTACATAACATAATGTAACAATAACTTAAAAATAACCTAACACTAATTTTTTTTATCTTTTCTGTTTTATATATATGTATATATATTTTTAATTTTTTNTAGGAAAATACTCGGTAAGAGATGCGGATAAACTGCTGAGATGATCTTTAATTTCATCGAGTGTCTCTACATCCAATTCCATTTCAGACTCTTGTAGAAATTTAGTAAGAAGTGGAAAACAGTCAAAATTATCATGCTCTACTTCTGAAATCCAGTACTGTAATTTACGATATAAGGATATCAAATTATCTCGAGTTCTAAAAATGTTTGTTTTCTTTCCTTGTAGAGATAGGCATGTTTCATTCATCTTTGAAAAACATCTGCTAAATATGTAAGTTTTGCACGCCATACATTATTTCTTAATCTGTCAGACAAATTAAATTTATGTTCAAGACAGTAAAACTGCAATTCTTTTATCAATCAACCATTCACACTAGCACATTTCCTCTTGAAAGCCACCTTATTTCTGTATGTAAAAGAAGAGTCATTTGATGCTACCCATATCTTCGCATAAAGCTTTAAAAGAGCTTTGATTGTAATGGCCGAGTCTTAATAAAATTGATATTTTGCACGGCTTCGTCCAAAACTACCTTTAATGAAGCAGAAATTTTTTCGTCACTAATGACAAAAATGAAGAATGCAGTGATTACTGCTGCAGTTTTTTACAACATTTTTTATTCTAGTTACAGCACCAGATAATTTTCCCATCATAGCCTTCGCTCCATCAGTGCACACTGAAATGCATTTATCCCAACCAATACCATGATTTGTTATATAATTATCAACACAATCAAATATATCTTTTCCTGTGGTATGAAGCTCCAAACTTTTACAGAAAAGCAAATTGTCCTCAATTGTTTTATTGAAGTCATATCTAACAAACACAAGTAGAATTGCCAGTCCAGCAACATCTGTACTAATCCATTTGCAACGCGTAAGCATCACATGCATGCAATCGTGAAATAAGTTCGGTTTCATTGTCATCAAAAATATCAGCAATACGCCTCGACACCCTATCATTAGATAGAGCTATAGATTCAACCTTTTAAGCAGACTTTTCATCAAATACACATGAAACTACATCTTTCAATATAGGTTTTATCAATGATTCACCAATAGTGTGTGCTTTGCCATGAAGAGAAATATGGTAAGATGCTTTATATGACGCTTCAGTTGCATTTTTATTGTCTGTTCTGCATTTCTTAAAATTTGTAGTTTTATTGAAACTTTCAAGTTTCCTTTCATAAAAAGATTTATCCTTATTTTTATAGACACTATGCCTGGTCTCCATGTGTCTTTACAACTTTGCTGGTGCCAACGAACTGTTAGCTAATCTTCTGTGACAAATGATACAAATGGCGTCTGGGGTTTCTTCATCACCAGTACTAGTAAAGCCATATGACAAATACTGAGGATCATACTTGCGTTTATTTTTGCCTGGCTGCCGTTCAGAACAAGAGGGAACATATTTAGTGTTTTTTGAACTAGTAGTTGCAGATCGTTCCTTTGCAAGTTCACCTTTTTCTGTATCTTCTTTGGATGTTGTTGCTTTACTAATCCTTTTGAACTTTTGATCCATTGTAAGGCTTTAAAAATAGTAAAAATAATTCGTTGAGTAGAAGAAATGCTTATGGTAGAGCAGTACAACCTTCCTGCACGTGTGTAGCTAACCAACAAAGACAACGATTACCAGTGTTGCCAACTCTGAATAATCTAGTCTGTCAATTGCTGTCAGTGTGAATTCATTGATGTTATAAGATATGNCGTTCTAGATGCAATGTGCCAATCTTTCAGCCGTTCTAGATGCAATTTATCGTTTTATAACTGTTTCAATTTTACTTTAATTGATTTTTCACTCGATTTAATTGGCATTTCTGCCAAATTTAACCGATTTAAAATAATAATAATAATAATAAACATCAAGCAATAAGAACAGTACTTTAAAGATCGTATATTTTCTAATGTGCTGTTTCTATACTAAAACTTAAAACTGGCAATTAAAATGGTAAAAATAATGTACAAAACTATCAGCTGAAAGCAATACATAAATAAAGTTTCGTTCCTTTTTTTCTTAATAATTTTTAGCTTAAAATTTATTTCTCGCGCTCAAAAACTTGTTTTTTTTTTTTTTACATATTCTAGGAAGTACAAATGCTATAATTACAGAAAAAAGGAAAAAAAGAATCAAATTTGTTGCTTGTTTGTTGCCGTTTTTACACATCGATTTTTATAAAAGGTTCGCATTCATACTCGAATTTTCAGAAAATTACTTCCTTTCGTGTTACTACCAAATTTAAAAACACAAAATTACATTTCTTATCCATTCGGGTCTATTTTTAAGTTGTAGAAAAGGAAAAAATCAAGAAGATAATCACAACGGAAACCCCCTCGAACCACGTAAATGCGCTGATATCTTTTTATTTTTACGTGTTACCCAATCTCGATCGTTTAATAACGCACAGACGGACGGACGGGAGAGAAACGTCATCATCACCACCTCATGATAAACCGGTTACGGTTAAGGTGGATAAGTGACGTTTGCGGAAATGACAAATTTCCACTTCCTCGACACGTGAAAACTACCCCGTCGAAGGGATGCTCTGTCACAAACACAAGGGATGTAGTTTGCCGGGAGTATAGAGGTTCCTACTAGGGAAAAAATCGAAAAAAAAAAAATAAAAATCCTTATCCTGTGGAGGAGGAAACGTTCACCTGACCTTAAGAGGCAATGTAGCGGGACTGGAGGAGGAGTGGACCATACATCTACACATATAACTGGTTTAGAAACTGGTTCTTTATTACACGATGTGTATTTCTCTCTGATCATTTTATAGTTAGGGGGAGAGTTTGTTAAGTGGACTCTGAAAACTATCCGCGTGCCGGTATCAAAGCATGAAAAGAAACAAACACACCAAACATTGACCGTACAGGTAAGGTGTTTCCTTTATTTTTTTTTCTGTAGTATAGGCGCGTGTAACTCTATAGCAACACGCTCAAACACACGAGAATATAACGAATTTAATTTTCTTTTATCCTTGTGTTTGAGGAAAAACTTGCGACCAGTCGAGAAATTTATTTATAACAATAATACTTTAATCGATTTTTATAACATAACTTCACAATATGTAGAGATATGTTCTGTGTTTGGATAATTGATGTCACAGCTGATACTTATTTTAGAGGTGATATAAGGCAATTCTGTAACCTAATTCTAGAAAACTCAACTCTGTAAGCGAATTTTTTTTAAGGAAAAACAAATGCTGGATTAGCGTAAGTCAAACAACCTGCAGCTTAGGGCCTCGCTTTATGAGTCTGTAGATTAGGGCCTGTGTTACGAGTCTGTAGATTAGGGCATCGTAATTTTTACACGTATTATTATATACATTAGAAATGGTAAAAAAAAAAAACTCAACGTTTCGGTTGCTTTACGTCACACAGTTCCTTATTTTTGAATCTAAAAATAACGGTAAACCGTCAAAGGAACCAATAAGATCCTTTGTTTTACAATTAAAAAGGCATTATTAAAGGAGAATTATTAAATTTTTCAGTCGATTTTCCTTTTTGTAATTTCACTCGAGTAGGAAAAATATGACTTAGTTCGATTGACAATAGAATCGACGATTGCTTTTATTTTTAAATTGTGCAATAATTTATTGCATGAACGTGCGCTAAATATTAATAAACGAGAAGGAAAACTCGAACGTGGACGAAAATATATTCGAAAGGATGATGATAAGAAAAAAAAAAAAAAAAATACTAATGTTTTTCTGTCCTCAATTGTGTGTCCTAGTAAATGTTACTGAACCAGTACAACGTCGTGTTTTGTTGTGTTTTCGGAGGGGTGTTTTCGGTCACGTGATCGTCGACGTGGTGGGAAAACGTCGATTTGAGTATATTACACGCGCTTAAAAATCATTATCTGTTATGCAAGATTTATAAAACACCCATAACTAAATGACAGGGATTATTAACCATCGAGTGATACATTCCAAGAATGTAGTTATTATTCATGGTTATTAATAAAAATTTCCCCTCGTGGGCACGGTTTCTTTTTTGTATTCTGTTTGCTTTAAGATTTTGTTGCTATCCTTGACAAATATGTTTGTTTTTCAAGGAAGCTCTTGAAAACAAAACTGAATCAAGGTTAAATACCTTTATTAATAAGGTTATTATTATTAGAGATAATGAATGGTGTTTATCTTTATGCCTGGTGGAATTCGTATTGAATAATCGTCGAGGATGGGTTCTTTTTTTGTAGTTATTCGACTAAGTAATTCGGGATTAGTGGAAGAATCATTCAACAGGACACAATACGGGAATTGTCGTTGAATACGGGAGTAATATGCGATCGTTCAACAGGTAACTTCGGGATTAGGGCATCATTGCGCCCTCTTAGTGCCACGGGGCGACTGAGTACAATATTAATGGAGATCATTCATCAGTATATTTGGGATCACAAGAACGTTGAACAGGGGTTATTTGGCAGAGTATTTAGGATTAGAGGATCATTGAACAATAAGCCGCTGTATTTAACAGGATATTTTAGGATTAGGTGACCATTGAACAGAGGTCGTAAAGTAAGTTATTTAACAGGGTATTTTATGTTCAACAACGAAAAAAGATAGTATCATTATTCAGTATTGCGAAACTTCGATACGAATAGTGAATTAATAATTAATAGTTTAATAAATAATATATTCAATTAATACGTATTTGCAAATTAATTGTAAGCACGTATATAAATGAGATAACGTGTACATTGTTTAGAAACGAATTAAACGAACTAAATATTGATAGAAACAGAGATAAGTTAGTTTGTTCCTGTAAAAAATACAATTCGATGTTTTATTTCTGTTATAAATTTGCTACATACTAATTCATTGATGATGTGTTAAAGGTTAGAAAAGGAATAAGAATATAACTAATTATAACAAGTAATGAAGGGATGACAATGCGGTAAGTATAACTAATGCTGACACAATAGGAAATAATAACAAAGATCAGACAGAGATGCCAGTGATAAGCACAATTGTATGAGGATGAGAATATAACTTTTTTTACCGTGTAGAGGGATGAAAATAAAATTTATTACACAGAACAGTGATGAGAACATGCTTAACACCTGTCTAATGCAGTTGAATCTCCAACAGCTGACGATATTAAACAAAAATGCATATAAATAACCTTTAAATGAATGCCAATTTTTACGTTTCCGTCAGTTGCCACTGTTTACAGGTTTTTCTGTATTTTCTACTGTATCAGTATCAGCTTATGTCTATTCTAACATCACTCCTATTGTCCTTTACAGGTAATGTATGGCAAAGCCTCTCATTTTCGAGCTTAATATTCGCTTTTTTTTACAATGTTTCTATTCTTGACAGACACAACAGATGTGTCTTTCATTCAATGTAGTTGTATAGGTCACAGTATTGCCTAGAGGTTAAGTAATCCATTATGTACAGTACATGTCCTAATTTCCGGTTACTTTATAACAACATTACTAAACAGGACGTTATTTAAATATAGCCTATATATGTGTGTAGTATCCTGTATAGAACACGTAGTAATTAATTTTATTTAATTAGTAATATTTAATTACAGATGGACTGATTAACTTCATCATGTCAGTCATATGCCAAACTTTCATACAGAATTCTTGGAAGAAGGATCTGTGTTCCAACTGCTTCAAAACACTGGCCGATCATCGTCAATCACGCGATAAGAACCGTTACTATCTTCATACGGCCACCCCTTACCACGGACACCAATACGCCGATCCAACCGAGTGGAAGTACGTTTTTAACACGGATAAGAGCACCAGGAGCCAAAACTGGTCCATACCAAAAGTTACAAGCATACTGAAGGATGATAGACATCAGAATGGAAGAAGTGTTGCCTTCTTGGATCAGGATCCTATCATCATAGGTTACGGCGGTGATGATTATCACACAGATGACGATGAGTTATGGGACGTGCTATCGGATGATGGTGAGTTTAATTTGGATAAGTTTGACGAAACTGACGAGGATAGGGCAATCAGCAAGATTACAAAAGAAAACACTCGATTCAACACCGTGATTAAGGAAGAGGCAAGGAGTACGATACGTTACGAGCCAGTTTACATGGATAGGAGAGTAACTAGAATCGACGATAGCTACAACAAAAATAGCTACCGCGATAACAGTTGGAAGTACAACGACAAACAGAAAACTTACAACGACTTCCCCAAACCTTATCACTTGCCTCGTGTTTCTATCGGTTATCAGAGTTCTTCCAGCTCCTGCTCAAATTCGTCATATCAGAGTGTTAAACAGAGTAAATCTGAAGTGTTACCACTACTCAAAAGCAGCCCTAAACTCGACTTACCAGATAAGGAGAGTATTTTAAGGAGTAACAGTCCTGACAGACGTCGTCAATCGAGTCCAGCGAGTGAGAGATGCGATAGTAGATCCAGTACTTCAACAAATGATAATGCAAGCTTTGTAGCTGCTAAACTTAAGGCGTGTACGGATAATGAGGCTAAAGTCGCTGTGAAAACGTTGGAAAGTCCCGTACGCGACTCGATTGTTTCTTCAAGCTCTGATAAAGAACTGAGCAGTAATAATAACAAAGATAAAGAGGAGGATAATCAAGATCGGAATAGTGATAAAGTTGTGTCAGATACCGAAAAATTACCCGTTCAGGAGAAACTGGTTAGTGAAACGATGCAGGCAGAGAGTGAGAAAGTGGAAAAAAGCGGCGAACTCCCAGATGAGAAATGCAAAGTAGAGCCACCCTCCTCCTCCCCCAAAAGCGAAGAACTTCAGCCTGAAATAAGAACTAAGGACGAGGAATGTAATGAGAAAAGTGTTAAGAAGGATTCGGTTCATTACGCTGTAAGCAATGCGCTGAAAGAATCGCCTACAGAGAATTTTTACGCAGTGAGTCCTATCCTTGATGAATCACAAAGGAAACCTAACAGGGAAACGAAGCTGGCAGCTCTAGCCATAGAATTGGAACAAGCTCGTCACGAACAACATAAAAATGCCCACTCGGAAAATCCGCACGCCGATGATTCGTGTACGAAATTAAATCGGAATCAGAAACACGCAGCAGAAACAGAGAAACACGAAGAATGCCAGAAAAGCAAAAAGAGTAAATTCTCTCTCAAGAAACTACTTAAACGTAACAAGGACACGGAGAGTGGAGATTCCAGTGCAAAATCATGGAAACACGGGGATTACGATAAGTCTACTTTAAGGTTAAAGATCGTCCATCCTATGGATTTAGTAGAAACGCCATGCAACAACACGAATTCTGCAGATACAGAAGAAACGGTGGCCAATGACTTATCTCATACAGTCAAACAGGAGAACGTAGAAAAAAACACCCCTGCTCACTCGAGCAAACAGCAGGTGAGATACCATTTTTTTCCCCTCTAGAATTCTGATAAGTGTTGTTCTTTATTCTTTCGCTAGAACGGTTTTTTTTTTTTTACTCGACGAAACAGCATTGTTTAATGTGGCAAAGCAGGAAAGTTTTCACGATAATGGTTTAAAGGTAATAAATATTCGAATGTAAAGCTTTCTATACTGATCATTGTTATTCCACTGATGTCTTATGTAAACATCTCTTCTATTCTTTAAAAAAATGATAGCGGATGTGCCATGTTATGACTACTTTTTTGTTGTAACTAAAAATAAATTTTGGCGGTTAATTTATTCATAAAATTTTTTTTTAATTGTTGTTAACAGGAAATACCCTCAACCACTCCTCAAACTAGTCAATCTTCATCTATATCTCATCCTGCCAACCGTAATAAAACCAGTGTGAAATCAGAGAGGCCATCTAAACCACCGCCTCCTCCAAAATGCAACCCAGTTCGACCAAAATCTGCAGATTTGTTCGATTTAACAATACCCCTAAAGAACGGTTTACCAATGGTAACTTCATTACAGTTAATCCGTTAATGAGTGTAAGAAACGTTAATGAATAGACTACATCCTGTTTTCTTTAGGAAATTTCTACGAGGAACCATCAAGAGCAGGTTTACGACGTCCCAAAAAACCTTAAAAACCAACAAAAGAATGAAGAGAAAAGAGGTTAGTGGTATTTTTTTTGGGGGTGGTGGGTTTTATTGTTCTGCAGTTTAGAAACTTGGAAGAAAAAAAACGTTAAACGTTAAACTCTTGGAAAATTTTCGTTACGATTACTGGGCGCGGCTCGTAAATCACCCTTTTAACCCAAAAATAACTAGTTCGAAGAGTGATTTTCGATGATAACCTTTCATTGACGGTGACCCATTTTCGCGATAATTTACCAAGATAATGAATCATGAAGTGGATCTGTATCTAAGATTAGCTATCAGTATGCTAAATTGCAGCTATATAAAGTTATTTTTGGATGGGATCTGTTGATATAAGTTGTAAACGAGGGTTTTTGTTGATTCGTATTAATCTACCTGATCATATTATGATAATTTTTTCCATAATTCTTAAATAGCTCAATTTTTTTCAGATAGCGCAATTTTAGATGAGGATAAACAAAAGTTAATTAGTGAGGTGTTAGAAACGAAGATTAATGGAGTTAATCCCGTAAGTTATTCCTACAAAATCTGTACAGTAAGTCTAGGAAGGTTGATTACTGGAAACAGAATGATCAATGTGGCCCATCAGTGGCCGAGTGGGTAAAAAAACCACTGAATACTGATTGTCGTGGGTTCGCCCCTCACGAGAAGACTGGTCGTGTGAAGTTGTTTTTACGTAATAGGGCTACTTCACTCTCTGGTTGTGGGTTTACGCCTCATCAAAGGGCTGATCAAGTGAAATTTTTCGAGTTTCCTTTACATAATCGGGCCATAAATGTCCTTCCTGTAGGCGGTTCACTCAAGTGTTGCTTTGCCTTTTAATCAATCAATCGAATGCCCACTATGTAGACTCGTGTGACTTCACTTAAAATATATTTTATAATCAAATATTAGCAAGTGTTTCCAGTAAGCATCACTCCTGGACTTGAGGATCCTCTACAAGATCCTCATGAACTCCTTTAAATATTCCAGGTAACCCCGGATACCTCGCAAAACACATGGAAAAGCCTAAATACTTCCTTAGAATCGCCTCAAACGTACAAAGAATCACCCAATTTAGATAAAATGATTAACCATAACGATCCAAGTAAAAAGGAGATGAATAAAACGCCTAAAGCATGGATCACATTAGAACATAGTTATGCAGTAGTTACAGCAGCTAATCATGAAGTCCTATCGAAATTCCTTGATACCGTAAGCTCAACAATATAAAAAATATATAATTTTCCTTTATATATTTTTTATTGTTGTTTAATTCTTTACTTTAGGCAGCTGAAGAACGATCTCAACAACTGTGGAAACCAGAAAATTGTTCGTTAAACTGGACAGATTTCGAACTAGTTTCCAACCAACCGGTTAAGGTATTACACGATATTCTCCTCTTTGATGCCATATTCAGGCATGGTTTAAGGACGGAACTGACTTTAATGGTAAATATGCAAGTTTATTTATGTTATTAACAGGATATACATTTATTAAAGCTAATACGTTACTTCAACAGGTGACTAAGAAAACTCTCCAACCGCTTCCTTGTGGGAAGGGTGAATCTACTTATCCCGTTTTGGGTTATTTTGTTGATAATATACCTCAGGATATTGCGTCACGTAGCCCTTTAATCGATTCAGTGTCCACTGTACATATTTTACAGCGTTCAGATGTAGATACTTTAGAAAATTACTGCTCATCAACTAACACAGACGTGGATTTGACCACGGAGAAGACGTTCATCCTGCTTCAACTAGTTTACTTTTTGAAGGTGTTCCAAGGTCGAAACTTGAAAGGTGTACCTGAAATGAGGAATATCTTCCTATCCAAAAAGGATAAAGAGATGAATAGGGTTATTTTCCTTAACAATTCGGACTTATCACATAATCAGAATAAAGTGTCATTGTGCCAATTTGCTTTAACCGTTGCTAAGAACTTATTCCATTTCAATTCCCTGGAAGATATATCTTCGTGTCCTTATATACCAGCAACTCATAAGAAGATATTTACTAACATTTTTCGCTTGTTGCAGCAAGAAAAATCCTTTTCTCTCATGCAATGCCAAGGATTTATCGAATATGCTCTATGGGGACCCCTCAATGTCGTTCAGAATTGCAAGAGAAATCAGCAAGAAATGGACATCACTCTTCAGAGATGGTTAGATACAGAAAGAGCAAAGTGCCTGAAGATACTTGTAAGAACGCTATGCACACCAAATGTAGTTACTTTTCTAATTTCCTACGACGAATTCCACGCGGAATTCCTTCTGAAAACCAGTGTCAGGAGCCTCAGAGAAGTTGCGCTCAAGTCTTAAAACCTCCCCCCGTGTAAATATGTAACACTGTACAATCGAGAGGTTTATACGACTATTCTCCCATTGAATGAACATACTTAAGAGTATAGAAATCCTACTAAACGCGAAATTGTTTATACATATTTGTTAAATATTGAATAAAATCTTTTATAATGCTCTGTTTACAATCACCTCGCACGATTAATTCAAACACACGCCCCTCGTAATAGGAACTAAATCGAAAATAATCCGCGCATAACAGGATATATCGGAATTCAGTACCCATTCAAACTAGCCAACAGTAAAATGCAAATTCGTCGCTCCCACCCCCAATACCTATTATGTTACGGGTTCATCAATATGGCAAACGAGTCCTCCCTCTTCTTCCTGCTCTACTTAATTATATATACAACAAATCATTAATTAATGAGGTTTTTTTAAAGGGTGTTAGCTCCTTAAATAAAATAGATATTGTCATTTTTGTATGACCCGAAAGGAAATTTGATAGCATCCAACCGGACAAATGTGGATCCGGTATGGATCTCGAGTTTCTAATGAAGGAACTATAAAATTTACATTGAAAATTTCGCGTAGTTTACGTTCTTTATTCGATTGATAAAGCATTAAGAATGCAAGAAACTGTGTCAAGGATGAAAGCTTGACGTGAAGATCAACTTTTATTAACTAACTAACTCACACGAATGTAGAAAACACATTTTATGCTAATAAAATGGTGTCTTTAGACAGTTACAATTTAAGTTTTAATAACGTTATGCTCGAGTTCCATATGTAATTTTTAAAAAGGGGATTTTTTTTACAGCAACCTACCCGTATCGTCTTACCGACGCCATATTGGATTTCGAGACGTCTCATCGTATTTGCCTGTATTTTCGGTCGTGACCGCTGGTAACCCCTGAAGCTATTTCTTGTTTAAAGGCCATCAAGCAGCTCGACTTTTTAAATATATTATTTTTTCAAAAGAAATCCACTTAGATAAGAATATAGGAAGTGGATCAATAAATGTCAAGATTACTGAAAGATGCGAAGTTTTTTTTTATTTTATTTTTTAAACAGATATATATTTCTTTGTATTATGTGTCATGAATTAAGGAACAAGTTAAATTAATAGAGTAAGGTAACAGATGTAAATTCTTATGTAAAGTACAGGCTAACCACTCCAGAACACGTGATAATGATCAATTAATTGGTGGATCCGTGAAGGAAGAATAGTGAGGAATGATTTATTTGGTGTTCGAAACGATCCCTCCACACACGCTCACTTCACTTAATTTTATTGAAGGTATAATATAATATAATTAGAACCTGCAAACCTGCATTCACCCCTGTGCCATTCTGTATTAAGATTTTTTTCCCCTGTACTTTATAAACGAAGAAAAATCAAAGATAAGTGGGCACGGGGGTATAGGGGTATTACGCTACCAAATCCAAGCCATAGTAGTGTTGGTACTTAGGCTTACCATTGTGTTCACAATTGTGACGTAAGTGGCAACAATCGGGAAGTATTTCGTGTGTTAATAATATTGCAGTCTAGTACCAAAGGGGTGTATACCACAAAAAAACGATCCCAATACATTCGTGTTACTTACTACAATGCCAGACTAATAACCTTGGTCATTAGCGACGTCCGAAGGGGGTCAGTCGATTCGAAAAGTAGCTATGATCGTGTCACGTGTGATGCCCTTACTACTGTTATCCATCACTGTGTCCAGATTCAATATGGCGGATGATGTGTGGTGAGGACGGCTGAATGCTTCCTGTAATAATTTTGTTAGATAAGTTTAAAACACATTAACACACTTGAAAATTGTATTCTTACACTATAATTTTTAACTTCTAGTAACGCAGATTAAGGAAAAACTCTGGAATATTTGTCACGTGTCTTAAATTACCTTTATATTACATAAAAATGATTTTTTTTCCCTTACAATTATATGTTTGAAATAAAATTTAAACGTATATACTTACTTCAACAATAGGTTCTTAAATCATTTTAATGTTTAGTCCCTATGAATGATTTGGATGCGACGTTGTCGTGACGACGTAATTTGGAACGTCACGATTATGGTACGGTGGACGTTAGCGGAGTACAATAAGCTTGTGAATGAATCTGAATGACCGTTTGTGGTTATTTCCTGAAGAGGGTGCCTTATTTCTAAAACTACTGCCCATTATGCCTCGTTAAAGTCTGTTTCGTGGCATTATCAGCATCTACAAATGACAATCGCGATAAACCGGCGTTCAAATTTCTTACTTTTATATTAATAAAACAATTACTTATATACAAACTCCACATCTTTACTTGAATTCTACAAACTGGATGAGATTTTTGTATAGATGAAAAGGTAAAGAAGCTGCAAGGAAGATGAAAGAGAAACTGAAAAGGGAGCACTGAAGACAAGTCTTTGCACCTCCTTTACTTATCATCTGAACAACAGATATGTCCAGAAATGCATATAATTAGCACTATAATATTCATCAGTTTGTCTTCTGTTTTATTTACTCTACCAAACAATAAGAACAGCAAGACTTCCTTAAAGTCTATAGCACGTGGCAATGTAAGATCATGTATTTGAGGCATTAAAAAGGAGGAAATTTCTTAACTCCACCTTACAATGGTTGACAAACTAAACACAGTTATCACAAGTTGCTTCAATGACTTCCCCAAATGTCATTATTGAAGATGATGTGAGGAACACGAACAAATCTGTGCAGTAATAAAGGGGAGCATATAGCTTAAAGATTGATCATTAACTAATGGAATGGTGCAAACTTGTAGAATCTATCCACAGAATTCTGTACACTATGCCTGTATATAAATTGAATAATGTAATTTATTATTCTTACTTTTACTCTTCATTAATACACACTAAGTGTTTTCTTTATTAAATTGTACCTTTGGAAAAAATAGTAAGATTAGTGTTCTCTTCTGGCAAAAAAAACATTGGTGTCTTGCAATGCAATTTGAATCCTCAATCCAATGGATTAATATGTAAGAAATTAGGATATTAATAATAGAAAGATGTAGGTTCTGTGCCACCTTTCAGAAAAAGGGGACTGGATGTTTTAGTCTCAGAAAAAATGAAAGAAAGGAGACAACTTATTTTGAGCTAATAGCTCACAAAAGCCAAACTCATCTGTCTTTTATCAGTTCAAATTAATAAAACCATCCCTTGTAAAGTTCCTCTGGATACTTGTGAACAGGTCTTTCTCATATACATTAAACAGTAATTTAATTCTCTAAACCAGAGGTTCTGAAACTTTTTTTGCAATGGAACCCTTTTATATTATTTGTAATATAATGGAGCCCTTATTTAAATTAATACTTATTATAATAAAATAAATATTTTATTTGAAGCACACCATAAATTGGAATATCAAATTTTAGTGAGATGAATGCATCTGTATTTTAAACATAAGTATCCTCTGGAAATTTGGTTTTATACTTGATAACTGGATTCTCATATCTATGGCGGCATCCAGTCTGCTTCGATACTTAGTTTTCGTACTAGCATATCTTGAAAATCCTGATTCACACCAATATGTTGTCGTAAAGGGCAAAAGTATTTTTATGGCCTGTTTGGATATTTCAGGATATTTTTTAACTAGATTCCACCAGAATACATCTAACGGCACTTCTTCAAATTTAGCCTTTAACTGAGTATCGGATGTAATTTCTATTAATTTCTCATAATCCACTGACAGAAATCCTGTTGGTTTTTTTGTTACTGTGAATGGATTTTGTACCCAATAATATTCTTTGTACTCCAAGTTAGGAAAATACTCGGTAAGAGATGAGGATAAGCTGTTGAGATGATCTTTAATTTCATCGAGTGTCTCTGTGTCCAATTCCATTTCAGACTCTTGTAGAAATTTAGTAAGAAGTGGAAAACAGTCAAAATTATCATGTTCTACTTCTGAAATCCAGTACTGTAATTTACGAGATAAAGATATCATATTATCTTGAGTTCGAAAAATGTTTGTTTCCTTTCTTTGTAGAGATAGGCATGTTTCATTCAACTTTGAAAAAACATCTGCTAAATATGTAAGTTTTGCTCGCCATACATTATTTTTTAATCTGTCAGACAAATTAAATTTATGTTCAAGAAAGTAAAACTGCAATTCTTTTATCAATTCAACCATTCTCACCAGCACATTTCCTCTTGAAAGCCATCTTACTTCTGTATGTAAAAGAAGAGTCGTTTGATGGCTACCCATATCTTCACATAAAGCTTTAAATACTCTTGATTGTAATGGCCGAGTCTTAATAAAATTGATAATTTGTACGGCTTCGTCCAAAACTACCTTTAATGAAGCAGAAATTCTTTTTGTCACTAATGCGTATCTGTGAAGAATGCAGTGATTACTGCTGCAGTTTTTTGCAGCATTTTTTATTCTAGTTACAGCACCAGATAATTTTCCCATCATAGCCTTCGCTCCATCAGTGCACACTGAAATGCATTTATCCCAACCAATACCATGATTTGTTATATAATTATCAACACAATCAAATATATCTTTTCCTGTGGTATGAAGCTCTAAACTTTTACAGAAAAGAAAATTGTCCTCAATTCTTTTATTGAAGTCATATCTAACAAACACAAGTAGAATTGCCAGTCCAGCCACATCTGTAGACTCATCCATTTGCAACGCGTAAGCATCACATGCATGCAGTCGTGAAATAAGTTCGGTTTCAATGTCATCAGAAATATCAGCAATACGCCTCGACACTGTATCATTAGATAGAGATATAGATTCAACCTTTTGAGCAGACTTTTCATCAAATACACATGAAACTATATCTTTCAATATAGGTTTTATCAATGATTCACCGATAGTGTGTGCTTCGCCATGAAGAGAAATATGGTAAGATGCTTTATATGACGCTTCAGTTGCATTTTTATTGTCTGTTCTGCATTTCTTAAAATTTGTAGTTTTATTGAAACTTTCAAGTTTCCTTTCATAAAAAGATTTATCCTTATTTTTATAGACACTATGCCTGGTCTCCATGTGTCTTTACAACTTTGCTGGTGCCAACGAACTGTTAGCTAATCTTCTGTGACAAATGATACAAATGGCGTCTGGGGTTTCTTCATCACCAGTACTAGTAAAGCCATATGACAAATACTGAGGATCATACTTGCGTTTATTTTTGCCTGGCTGCCGTTCAGAACAAGAGGGAACATATTCAGTGTTTTTTGAACTAGTAGTTGCAGATCGTTCCTTTGCAAGTTCACATTTTTCTGTATCTTCTTTGGATGTTGTTGCTTTACTAATCCTTTTGAACTTTTGATCCATTGTAAGGCTTTAAAAATAGTAAAAATAATTCGTTGAGTAGAAGAAATGCTTATGGTAGAGCAGTACAACCTTCCTGCACGTGTGTAGCTAACCAACAAAGCCAACGATTACCAGTGTTGCCAACTCTGAATAATCTAGTCTGTCAATTGCTGTCAGTGTGAATTCATTGATGTTATAAGATATGATATGTACCAATTTCTTATGTTATGATTAAATGTTGCTTTTCAATGTAGCTTTACGGAACCCCTGACCTTGCTTCATGGAACCCAACGGTTCCGCGGAACCCACTTTGAGAACCACTGCTCTAAACAAGTTCAAAAAGGCTCTCTAAAAACAGTTTTGCATTGCAAAAGGCATTCTCATCATCATATTCTCTCTCTCTCAAACCCAAATTTTTGCTTAGACTTCATTATTATCCATGCTTCCTGTTGCTCGAGATACTTCAGTTTATTCTGGCCTCCATTTGTCCTCAAATTGGCACTAAATAGCACGGCTCGATTGACATTTTCTAAAGGGTGACACAGAGACTGAATTTTATCTGTTATTGCGGTTGATCAAACCCAAAAAACATTATCTTTTTCTATGTACGATAATGCTAAATTTCCATTTAAGAGAATAGTGATTTTGAATCTAAAATATGAATTTTTTTATAAAAACTATTAGGAAAACATCACTACTCTTTCATTTTGCCAATTTAAAATAAAAACACACTGTAAACTTATGACATTTAAAAAAGAACAATCCACAGTCATTGCTCAGTAGACTGTATGATGAATTATACACCAATAATAAGACATTTTCAGATTAGTATATTCTGTACAGGATAAAGAACAAAGAAATGCCATTGAGTAAAGATATTTGTGTGTCTACACTAAGATGTCGTATTGAATGATGATGCAAATTATCATTGTATTTTCTGTGCAGTGTTTGTTATAAACATTTTGTAAATTATTATATACAGTACATTGATATAATTCAACCACGGTCAACAATACTTGCCATTCACATCGACCGCAGCAAGACGTCTTTTGGAAAGTAACAACTGACAGTGCAAATGTGCTAGTGCCTTCAGCAGACATTTCTCCTTGTTGTTATTCTAAAATTAATCATAAAGAAATGAATATTAATAGTCAAATAAAGCAAGTTGTCTGGAAAGTATATTCACACATTAGGAAAGCTAATCTGACACAAGCATAGAAGCAGCTGTTAACAAAAACCACAAAGATGACTGACGTATCATCCTTTGTCATCTTAGTTTGAAGAAATATAGCAATTTAAAATTAATGTTAAAATATCCATGATAGAATTCTTAATTTGTGTTCAATGTAAAAACTCGGAATCAGAAAAGAAAACAACAAAAAGCAATTGTAAGATAGTAAATATATAATTTTAAAATATAAAAATTATGAGACATACATCACACTTCATAACAAATATCTTTCTAGTGACTACAGAGAGAACTTTTCTTCTTGGTAGAAAAAGAATTTTACATTTACATCTCATACCGTCAAAATATAATACAAAAAATTTGTAAAATACAGCGGACACTGTAAATCTTTGGATATAGAGAGATGGCCGACGCACGGAGCATTTGCGAACATAGAAAAAAAACTATATACATTCACATAAATATGTACAAAACAATGGATCGAACACTGATATGCACACAAGATATAATTTCTGTTCTGGCAAAAGAACCAGCACAATATTTACATTTAAATTAATAACGAGGGGGAAAAATTTAATAGAGGGAAACGAGTGATCATTTGTTTTCTGACTGTTGGTCATTCGGAGACACTCCTAAATATTTATTTGTAAATATATCACATAATGGAAGCTTCTGTATGGCCGAAAATATATCTTCTATTCTAATCGTGTCGGGATATCTGAAAAATTCATATTTTTGTGGTGTTTATAACTGGGAGAATGCTCACTAGTAAGGAATATTTACTAATGTTTAAACTTACAATTTCTTCCCAATTTTATTGAAGCTTTCGCTCAGGGCTACTCTTAAAATGTCCGAGATAAATTCTTTGCAAGACTGGAATGTAAAAACAATGTATAAATATAAATAAATTGTAAAATTTTAATATTTAAAGTTATGTGTAACTCACTGCCAATATCATTTCTTCAATGACGTGACCCATTATTGAAGGAGCTAGCTCGCAAGGTTGAAACTTCAGACCAATCTGGATGCGTAACAAATCACAGAATTGTAATTTATCTGAACGCAGAATAATTTTTATCATTCTGAATTATGTTATGCATTATTTTCCTTACTTTTGATGCCGCTTCTCTGACAAATTCGACGCATGCCGACGAATCGGGAATGGATAGTAGTGACTGATTGTAAGAGAATCTGTCAAGGACAATGTTTTCTTTGTTGAGATTTTTACTGGTGATGCAAGAATGATCATTATCAGTATTCAGAATGTCTATTTCTTCTTCAAAAAGAACCATTTCGGGCACGGTCTTCTCCTTCTCAAGCATCTCTAACAATTTGCTGGATTCCGTAACCGTAGAAACTTCACTTAACACTGCATTAGTAAAGGAAAATGTACATCATTAGCCTATAAATTCATTTCATTACAATTGCTCATTCATAATCATTCGTAATCAATCACAAGCTATTTCTCTTACCTCCAAAATGATGTTGAGGGTTGGGAATAGATTCATCTAAGTAACAAGAGAAGTTATTAAAGTACTTAAGAAATAATTATCTCTTAATTAAACTAATGCACTCACTTTGCCTTTTTGGGGTGTAGCCATTCCTATAACACCACACCAAAATTTCCTTTGTTGACCAGACGTCCTTTGACATAAAACTGGAGGATTTTTGATTTAGCAATTGCGAAATTGCTTGACGAACTGCTTTTGCACGATGCCACTAAACAATTTTGTTAAAATTTATTTTTTTGCCTTTCTCATTTCCGATTTTGGTAGACTTACCTCGGCAGCGCGTTGCTTCCCAACGTTCCAGGAATAGAATACTTCAATGGAAGGTGCACAGTAAGGATGGCATGAACGATCTACAAAATTTTTATGTATTTAATACAGAAATTTTCAATTTGCAATAAATAATCTAAGACAATTTTATTTATTTATCATTGATACATTAAAAAATATTCAATTCTTTCTTTAAAAGTACGAAGGCCCAGTCTAGACCCGGCAACGTTCGGAGATTGAGAGTAGAAAAGGTTACAAAATCTATTTAAAAGCAGATATATTTTATCGAGTAGTTTGGAAATTTTGTTTAAAAGGGTCGGAGCCACTGTGGCCCAAATTGAAAAACCATAGTCGACAACAGATTGGAAGTTTGCAAAGAAAATAGAGCAAATAACTTTTTTTGAAGAAATGGGTTTACAGAAACGCAAAAAATATAACCCAACGTCTGGTAAGAGATTTTAATATTTCATTTATGTGACTTTAAAATGCGAGTCCGTTATCCCAAATTATGCCAGGTCATTGACCAAAGAAATGTATTTGATATTGTGTGCGCTAACAGGGAATGTAGGTTGAGAAGTACAGTAATACCTCGACTTACGCGAACCCGGAGTTACGCGATTTTCAAATTTCGCCGATTCATCTTTTGTTTGAGTGCCACGCAACTCTTGATTACTCACTTCCACCACATTATTGTTCAGTTTATATGTTCGGACGTGTCGCGCGGAATCGACACATAGCTACAATTTATTTTGTATTATTTATTTCTGTGTTTGTTATATCTACGGAGACTTGAGAGACTCTATGTGGTGATTTCTTGTAACCGTGAACGAATCAAAAGACGAGATAAAATTAATAAGAACATTTATTAGCTTACATACATCCGACTTGGATTTTACACAAATTTCGAAATTATACCCTGACTTATGCGAATTCGACTTACGCGGTTATCGCTCGGTCCCACCTATCGCGTAAGTTCGAGGTATTACTGTATCGTATAATAAAGAGTAGCTCACGGTGACATTTTCTGTAGATTGATTTTAAATTGGCTCTAGCAAGAAGAGTTGTTAGAAGTTGCAGATCAAATTAAAGTGTATCGGGATCATAATTAACTAATTTGATATCTTTGGCAATGGTAACTATTGTTAATTTAAGTTGACCTAAAATATTGTTAATATAAACTGAATAAAACAATCCACTTAAAACCGAGCATTGTTGAATACTGCAGTTTGAGCAAAATTAAAAACTTCATAATCACCTAGTTTAATTTTGTAGGTACGAGATAAAAAGAAATTATTTAAACATGAATCGAATAGAATAACAAATTTCTCGACGTTCTTGAACTATAAAGAGGACGTTATAGAAAAAAGAACGTATCCTCTTTAAAATATAGTTTCAGAACATTGAGAAAGTAATTATTTAACAGGAGTAAAAAAGATCACAGATTGCAGAAAGAATCAGATGGAGCAAAAAGAACTGAATCAAAGGAATGGCTAATATCAGTGTATACAATATAAATGTTTTTTCAAAGTTGTCATTAATTATAGATAGAGTTTCAAGAAGGTTGGTGGAGGTCGAATGGTGACGGAGACCACAGTGCTGGATAGATAACAGTTTAGATGTGATGTGATTTGTATTTACCGCAAGATTTATCACGGCAGGTGACAGTAGGCAGAAGGAATTTTTATCTTTTTTTGGAATGGCTAATATAGTAGAGGAATACCACTATTTCAGAACAAAGCTATGTTGAACAAATGAAATAAATAATCTCAAAAAAACTGCTGTGGTCACTGGTTGTAACGTTTTATAAAATATTGTTTGGATAAGATCTAGACTGGATTAAGATGCTTTTAATGTCTCTATGGCTTTGGAAACTTCAGAAAAAAAATAATAAATGGTTATATTTATAAGAGTGATGAGAGAGCGGTTTATAATCAGCAAATTGTAAAATATTAGTAAACCTATTTTTGAAATTGTTGTAAATTTTAAATTAAACAACATGGATAATTTAAAGTGGATTTATTTCAATCTCTTATCATTTATATAAAGAAAGAATAACAGTATGTCTGAAACTTTTGTAATGTTTGGTACCAAAATATATTTCGTAGTCATAAAAGAAAATCTACACTAAATATTAGGAAAAGAAAAAGTTGTAAAGTAGGAATGTATTGTATTTGGACAAGAGAATTTGGAAATACACACTCTTCACGTATTATTTTTTAATTAAACATGTAATATAATCAAGAAAGATCAATTGTTGATTGATCTTTTTTCATATTAAATGAAACACTGGTCATTAAATGATCTCTGTATTATATACTAAAGAATTCCCATATAACACTTCCCACAGCTAGTGCCAAACCCATAATCTGAATTGCTAATGATATATATGAACTTAAGCCAAAATATGTCAGATTTATTGTATAAGGCATAATCAATAAGTTTCCATTTGAAAGCTGTACAGTCCAGATTTGGTATGCCAGTCATGAAAAAGCGCCGTGACCATTTAGGCAAACATCCCACTGCTTCACCAGGTTGAATATACCCTATTGGTAAAACTCCTGTTTCTGCTGCTTGAAGAAGTCCGAAATTGCCTGCTGCACTTCTATGTTCGACCGAAACCTTTGACCTTTTAAGGACTTCTTTGAGGGACCGAAGGCGTGAAAATCACACGGGGAGAGATCGGGACTGTAAGGCGGGTGCTTGAGTGTCTCCCACTTTAGTGCGCATAACTTCTGCATTACAACATTTGCAGTATGGGGACATGCGTTATTATGAAGCAGAATCATTCCATTTTGCAGTTTTCCTGGACATTTTGCCTTAATTGCACATTGTAATCTCTTCAGCGTTTCACAGTACAATGCCCCAGTGATGGAGACACTTGGCCCTGGTGATTAATGAACAGGGTAAGCATCACTTTTCCAGCAGATGACTGGCTCTTGAACTTCTTGGGATGAGGGGACAAAGGATGACACCACTGCATGGTCACCGCTTTCGACTCAGATTCCCAGTGGTGACACCAGCTTTCGTCGTCAGCAACAATGCACTCAAGGAACATGTTGCCTTCAACATTGAAATGCATCAGGTGCCATGTCCTTAAATGGAAATTTTTTAATCGTCATCTTATATATGCTGGTATATAAGTCAACCTTGAGATTTTTTACTCAAATCTATACCTGCCATAAAAGTGTATAAAGCCAAGTCACTAATTAATACTAATGGTTACATCTTTAAATATATACAAGGTCAACATTCCCTGTAATGTTTCTTATTGCTGCATGTTGCCAAAATGCACTCAAGAAAAACTTTTCAGCCTAAATTAGATAAGCATAATATTTTTACTCACCTTTCTAACAGTTTATTTATTCATTTTGAAGACAAAATTATCACTTTTTTTTATGTTATATTAATTAAATTCATGAAATAAAAGATTTAGTTGGAAATATTTCAGTCAGCCTGCCAGAGTTACAGTAAGTGGTGTTCCTGTTATTTAACACTGAGTGGTACACAAGTGGAACAATACTTCTATTACATTTACCATATAAATCAAACCCTACTTTTGGAAAGAAGTATGAAAAATCACTGCCAAACAGTTTTATCACAGCCATTTTTTGCCAAATTGATTTACATAGCTGTCTTCCACGAAATCCCCATGCTATGCGGCATCCATTTACCTGTAAAAGTCTTGGTCAAAAAATGTTTTTCAGACTTATCACAAGCTCTCATAAATCTGCTGCAGAAAATCACCTTCTTATGCAAGCAACTGCATAAAATGTTTACTTATTGTCACGCACTCGCATGCAACAGGTGGCAATTTTCTGATCTCATTTCATTTTTAATAACCTGTGTCCTTTCAAGGACACTGAAACAAAACAATATTTCATTAACGTAGCATTTGCATTTCCTTTCTGGATAACTATTTTAAGTCAAATTAACAATGTAAATGATAAATTGGCAGCATTAATAGGAATTTTTAAAATTTGTGGCAAGTTCATGCCTCGCCAAAGAGTTTTCTTCGTGTGCAACACCTAAATAGGATCCAGTTTCCCCACAAAATTAACTCGGAAAGCGTTCCTCTTGGCAGACTTCCCAGGTGTCGAATTATTCCATCAACCTTAATCTTAAAACACATCCAAATTTTATATATGCTACTCTTCAACATAGTTTACCAGATTTCTAATCATAAATGTTTTGACTGCTTGACTCTATTAAGCATGATTATCAATAAATATATAACAGCAACTCACCTATATCTTTATTGATAAGAGGAAACAGCTTCACCACTTTATTAATCAATTCAAACATTGTTTCATAATATTCTAACCTAGAATATACAGATTCAAAATGTAAACAATGTAGTAAAGCATGTCTTAATAAACAAATGTAACCTACCTGATGGAAAGTAGCGCTTTCTTCAGAACTAAACTGTCATCTCTTTTGGGTATTTTGGTGTTATTTTTACTGACCGAGGAAGAATCGAGCGAGATTGTCTTCTCTGCTGCTTTGTTCGGAGACAAGTTAGAGATATTAACAGCATGTATACTCGTCGAAGGACTCTTTTTTAACAGGTAATCACTGTCTATACTAGTCTGATTGGCTGGAATGAGAATTACCTGGTTCATACTACCGGTGTGATTCGGCAGAACTTTGACCATGTACGATGACACATTCTTCTGAGATTTTGGCGAAATACACTTAGAGTTTGAGTTCTGCTGATCGGCTTGCAGTTGGTTCGGTTGAACCAGAGATTCTCCGACACCTGTTTTGGTCTTTAGCGAATTGGGTAATTTCACCACCGAACTCTGAGGTACAAGAAGTATCCTGCCCTGGTTGTCCATGCACTTAACAAACGTCGTCAGCCCGTTCAGCGAAGCATTCAGATTGAGATCTGTCGTGGACGTCAGATTTCCTGCAGTCTTTTGAGATAAATTATTTTTATTATTTAATGCCACGCTCGTCACCTGAGAAACGCTGGTGGGTTCAATGGAAGTTTTAGGAAAATTAGAATTTAAAGGCACTGGAATGATTTTCTTAGGAGACGATTCTTGCAACTGTTTTGATAAATAATTCTGCAGTTGAGGAGGCTGTTGTAAAGGTTCTTGAGAGATTATTGTTTTGTTAATCGTCGGCGGAATTATGAGTAGAACCGATTTAGTCTTTTTAACGTCTTCTATCGGTAACTTAGAGTTCTTCTGATTCGACGCCGTATCTACAGTAGATTTTGGATAAGAGCAATTGTTCTCTTGCTGTTGCGCTTTGGATACATCCGAAAGAATCCCATTAGTTTCAACCAAAGGTTTATGAGTATCTACACAAGATGCTTTAAGATTATTATGAGGAGGTTCTTCGTTTTTAACTATGTCACAATTTACCGTTCCTGTATTTTTCTCTGGAGTACCTTCCGACACGGAAGAACTCCTCCTACAGTTTATGCCACTCATTTTTCGTTTGGCTTCTTTTCTGAACAACCACAGATCAACTGCCTGCGNTGTTCGAATTAAATTCGAACATAAAATTTGAATATTGGTTCGATTATAGAATGATTGTAAACGTTCCAGAAACGTTGAAAATACTTCGTTTCACTTGACGTGAACAGGAGACGTTCAGAAATAGAATCGGGACAAGATCTCTAATCAGAAACGGGGGACCTAATTCTTGCATTCTGTGAAAACGGGTAAGATTGGCTATAATGTAATTATCTTAATCTTCACTATCGTTACTTTTTAAAAACCCAGCGAAGCGGGTCCTTGCAGCTAGAATCTAGATTAATTAGAAAAACAATCTTCTATATATATAAAAAAACTGTATTATGTACAAATGTACGAACAAATAAAAACCCAGCAAAGCGGGTCCTTGCAGCTAGTAGCATATAAAATTGTAACTGATTTCATAATCTTGCAAAAATGTTATAAAAAGAAATAATAAACTACAGTAAAACTTCTTTAACTCAAATGTCTGTAACTTGAAAAAACAAAGTACTTGGTAGGTCTCAATGGAATAGCATAGGGATTCCATGTCTCCAAATTGAATTTCCTTAACTCAAATTTTCTTCAAATCATAGGTTTTCACAGTCCCCTGACACTGATTTATGTTACTTTCAACTTTCCCAACTCAGATTTTAATATTTATTCTATCCAAAGTGATCTTAATTATCAGATTTCCATGAAATTTTCAGACAGTTAGTTATATCTACTGTCAAAGTCTTATTTGCAGACAATGCTCCAGTCCAAAGCAAAGGGATCACTCACTTTAACTCAACAAGACATGCAAAACTGTTTGATTTTCTTAGTTACATTGAACATTTTACTGGAAGATATTCCATGGGCTGTTTAAATCAAAAAACTATCAAACATTCACTAAATAATACAAGAAATAAAAATACAAATCTACTCAGAATTGGAATTTTTCAATCTATTGTTCTCTAACCCAAATCATCTGTAACTTGAAAGTTTTTTTCTGCCAACTTATTATTATTTTTAACTCTCTTGGCCCTATGGACACTAGACGGCCTGTTTTTGCAAGCCCACAATGGGGTGGCCAAATAGTGAGGGATGAGGCCCAACATATCTGGATAAACCACCCCTGAAAATGTCCTGGGATTTTTTTAATCCATTAAGAATTGTGTTGTATTAAAAGACTATTCCAAAAAAGCATCAAACTGTTACTTTTGTGTATCATCTTAAATCACTGAAAGCAAATTTCCAAATCTATTTTAATCAGTTTCCTTTTGTGTGTAATGTTAAACAATGCTGTTACACAAATTTGCAAAGCAAAGACAAATAAATTCAGAAATATTTTGCTGAAAACTTATTGCAAATGTCAAATTCCTGTCAGATGTTTGCTCTCTGAACATTACAAATTAAGCAATGAACTACAAAATATTAAAATACTTTGTTATAAAAACTGAATGCAATTCTAATTCTAATTCTTGGAGCAAAAGACGAGAATTTTGAAGCAGTTTTACTTCAAGAAAAACAATTATTTTTAAACTATACATTTATTTTTTCATTACTACACCTGTAATAGTCAAATGTATAATCCACTTCAAAAGATAAGCAAAATACTTCCTAACATTAAATTGTGGTTTTAGTAACTTTAAAACTGAATTATATATTATCATTGAAATCAAATTAATTAACTCACCAAACTTCCACTAAATCATTTGGTCTGTAACTGGGATGAAGAAAAAACTGGACTTTTTTAATTACATTCTCTATGTGAGGATTATCTTTGCTTCCACGAACGTAAACCATCCATTTGTGGGTCGCTTGATCATTCTCGTCGCGACTGTCCGCCGGTATGTATCTATACAAAAAAAATTTATGAACTTTATTCTTAAGGATGTTACGTACGTAAACGTAAAACAAGATAATGTTTTATTATTATGTTTGCATATACGCACCCCCATTTCTTAACGTAATTCCTTGAACGTATTAGTAATGTGTTTATGTTGTGTTACTTAACATCTAAATACTTTGTTGGTTTTTTAATCTGTAAAATTTTGTCAACTTAATTTCTATAATTGTAATTTATAGAACACTGAAGAGGAACTGGAAATGTAGAAACCAGTTCGAAATGCATATGTAAAAATATAATAAAAGAATTCATTAACCTGATGCTGTAAGATAGTCTACTGAAAGAATTTGTCGGATTAAAGAGACAACCATTCACAAACGAATATACAGCTATAACCAGTAAATTCAACATATTATTGGAATACAATGGATAAGAAAAACAGGTTGGGAGTTCTTACTAAGAAAGTGGAGATGTTACAGCATGACATAAACTACTTCAGGTGCTTTTTGAGGGAAGAACACACACCAAAATCTTTAAAGTTAAAAAGAAGTATACGAAATATAATCCCCAAACATATGATTTGGAAGATAGAAAGAAAGATAATAAAATCTGTAATTAGGAGTAAAATTAAAAAATGGAATAATTTAAAATACCAACTAAGAGAATTATTACAACAACATAATTACAAAGAAAACCCACACAAAGGAATTGCAAATGGATACAAATATAAAAAAAGACCTTAAATTACATAAATTATTTAAATATCCGGTCCCTAAAATGAAGAATACATGGATAAATAATTTAATTGTTAATAAAAGAAACATACAAATTCCTACTTACATAAAACAATTCCTAACATTAGGAATTGATTTTAATATACCTATTGAGAAAATTACTATGGATCTAATAGCAAGTGTAGACAAAAGTATAAAAGATTTGCCGATAAAAAAGGAAAAGAAAATGAACTCAATAAACTCCGTCATCCATGACATGAAACATATATCCCAAAAAAATAAATTTAAAGTAAATATATATAAAACAAATTTAAATAGAACTATAAAAAACTTTTTAAAAACTAATAACCTTTCTATCATAAAAGCTGATAAAACAAAACAGCTCATAATAATAACTAATAAAGAATTAGAAGATAAAAGTAAAGAACAAATTAACAATGAGCAATATATAAAATTGGATAATAATCCATATGAAAAAATAAAAAAGGATTTAACGAAAATTATAAAAGAAATACATTCGAAAGGTAATATTAGTGAAACTGATAGAACCCCCAAGTTACATATACGGTTGAAAACACATAAAAAAGAAGAAAAATATAGACCTATAGTTGATTTCAGATACTCGATACTGTACAATTTAGAAAATTATATTAAACAACAATTAAAAAATATTGAAAATTCTAAAAATAGCATAAAGAATGCTGATGAAGTAATTAAAATTATTCAAAAAATTAAAAAAGAATAAACAGATACATTAATCAGCCTAGATGTAAAAAATATGTATCCTAACATTAAATGGAAACTAGTAAGAAATAGCCTCACACAATTAAACATAAGTAAAACTTTAATAGATCTTACACAATTTGCATATCAGACAAATTATTTTGAAGTTTATGATGAGTTTTATAGATAAACCGATGGTGTGAGTATGGGGTCAAAGATGGCGCCAAGACTAGCTGAATTAGTAATGAAAGAAATAGACGAAAAAATACAAAACATTCCAGGGATAAAGACTGTAATGAGATACGTAGATGACTATCTGGTAGTATTTAATAATCAAATAACAAATGATAAAATAATTCTTAACACAGTTGATAATATAAATAAAGATATTAAATTTGATATAGAATTAGAAAAAGAGAATAAAATTAATTTTCTNCGAAATTATACCCTGACTTATGCGAATTCGACTTACGCGGTTATCGCTCGGTCCCACCTATCGCGTAAGTTCGAGGTATTACTGTATCGTATAATAAAGAGTAGCTCACGGTGACATTTTCTGTAGATTGATTTTAAATTGGCTCTAGCAAGAAGAGTTGTTAGAAGTTGCAGATCAAATTAAAGTGTATCGGGATCATAATTAACTAATTTGATATCTTTGGCAATGGTAACTATTGTTAATTTAAGTTGACCTAAAATATTGTTAATATAAACTGAATAAAACAATCCACTTAAAACCGAGCATTGTTGAATACTGCAGTTTGAGCAAAATTAAAAACTTCATAATCACCTAGTTTAATTTTGTAGGTACGAGATAAAAAGAAATTATTTAAACATGAATCGAATAGAATAACAAATTTCTCGACGTTCTTGAACTATAAAGAGGACGTTATAGAAAAAAGAACGTATCCTCTTTAAAATATAGTTTCAGAACATTGAGAAAGTAATTATTTAACAGGAGTAAAAAAGATCACAGATTGCAGAAAGAATCAGATGGAGCAAAAAGAACTGAATCAAAGGAATGGCTAATATCAGTGTATACAATATAAATGTTTTTTCAAAGTTGTCATTAATTATAGATAGAGTTTCAAGAAGGTTGGTGGAGGTCGAATGGTGACGGAGACCACAGTGCTGGATAGATAACAGTTTAGATGTGATGTGATTTGTATTTACCGCAAGATTTATCACGGCAGGTGACAGTAGGCAGAAGGAATTTTTATCTTTTTTTGGAATGGCTAATATAGTAGAGGAATACCACTATTTCAGAACAAAGCTATGTTGAACAAATGAAATAAATAATCTCAAAAAAACTGCTGTGGTCACTGGTTGTAACGTTTTATAAAATATTGTTTGGATAAGATCTAGACTGGATTAAGATGCTTTTAATGTCTCTATGGCTTTGGAAACTTCAGAAAAAAAATAATAAATGGTTATATTTATAAGAGTGATGAGAGAGCGGTTTATAATCAGCAAATTGTAAAATATTAGTAAACCTATTTTTGAAATTGTTGTAAATTTTAAATTAAACAACATGGATAATTTAAAGTGGATTTATTTCAATCTCTTATCATTTATATAAAGAAAGAATAACAGTATGTCTGAAACTTTTGTAATGTTTGGTACCAAAATATATTTCGTAGTCATAAAAGAAAATCTACACTAAATATTAGGAAAAGAAAAAGTTGTAAAGTAGGAATGTATTGTATTTGGACAAGAGAATTTGGAAATACACACTCTTCACGTATTATTTTTTAATTAAACATGTAATATAATCAAGAAAGATCAATTGTTGATTGATCTTTTTTCATATTAAATGAAACACTGGTCATTAAATGATCTCTGTATTATATACTAAAGAATTCCCATATAACACTTCCCACAGCTAGTGCCAAACCCATAATCTGAATTGCTAATGATATATATGAACTTAAGCCAAAATATGTCAGATTTATTGTATAAGGCATAATCAATAAGTTTCCATTTGAAAGCTGTACAGTCCAGATTTGGTATGCCAGTCATGAAAAAGCGCCGTGACCATTTAGGCAAACATCCCACTGCTTCACCAGGTTGAATATACCCTATTGGTAAAACTCCTGTTTCTGCTGCTTGAAGAAGTCCGAAATTGCCTGCTGCACTTCTATGTTCGACCGAAACCTTTGACCTTTTAAGGACTTCTTTGAGGGACCGAAGGCGTGAAAATCACACGGGGAGAGATCGGGACTGTAAGGCGGGTGCTTGAGTGTCTCCCACTTTAGTGCGCATAACTTCTGCATTACAACATTTGCAGTATGGGGACATGCGTTATTATGAAGCAGAATCATTCCATTTTGCAGTTTTCCTGGACATTTTGCCTTAATTGCACATTGTAATCTCTTCAGCGTTTCACAGTACAATGCCCCAGTGATGGAGACACTTGGCCCTGGTGATTAATGAACAGGGTAAGCATCACTTTTCCAGCAGATGACTGGCTCTTGAACTTCTTGGGATGAGGGGACAAAGGATGACACCACTGCATGGTCACCGCTTTCGACTCAGATTCCCAGTGGTGACACCAGCTTTCGTCGTCAGCAACAATGCACTCAAGGAACATGTTGCCTTCAACATTGAAATGCATCAGGTGCCATGTCCTTAAATGGAAATTTTTTAATCGTCATCTTATATATGCTGGTATATAAGTCAACCTTGAGATTTTTTACTCAAATCTATACCTGCCATAAAAGTGTATAAAGCCAAGTCACTAATTAATACTAATGGTTACATCTTTAAATATATACAAGGTCAACATTCCCTGTAATGTTTCTTATTGCTGCATGTTGCCAAAATGCACTCAAGAAAAACTTTTCAGCCTAAATTAGATAAGCATAATATTTTTACTCACCTTTCTAACAGTTTATTTATTCATTTTGAAGACAAAATTATCACTTTTTTTTATGTTATATTAATTAAATTCATGAAATAAAAGATTTAGTTGGAAATATTTCAGTCAGCCTGCCAGAGTTACAGTAAGTGGTGTTCCTGTTATTTAACACTGAGTGGTACACAAGTGGAACAATACTTCTATTACATTTACCATATAAATCAAACCCTACTTTTGGAAAGAAGTATGAAAAATCACTGCCAAACAGTTTTATCACAGCCATTTTTTGCCAAATTGATTTACATAGCTGTCTTCCACGAAATCCCCATGCTATGCGGCATCCATTTAACTGTAAAAGTCTTGGTCAAAAAATGTTTTTCCCACTTATCACAAGCTCTCATAAATCTGCTGCAGAAAATCACCTTCTTATGCAAGCAACTGCATAAAATGTTTACTTATTGTCACGCACTCGCATGCAACAGGTGGCAATTTTCTGATCTCATTTCATTTTTAATAACCTGTGTCCTTTCAAGGACACTGAAACAAAACAATATTTCATTAACGTAGCATTTGCATTTCCTTTCTGGATAACTATTTTAAGTCAAATTAACAATGTAAATGATAAATTGGCAGCATTAATAGGAATTTTTAAAATTTGTGGCAAGTTCATGCCTCGCCAAAGAGTTTTCTTCGTGTGCAACACCTAAATAGGATCCAGTTTCCCCACAAAATTAACTCGGAAAGCGTTCCTCTTGGCAGACTTCCCAGGTGTCGAATTATTCCATCAACCTTAATCTTAAAACACATCCAAATTTTATATATGCTACTCTTCAACATAGTTTACCAGATTTCTAATCATAAATGTTTTGACTGCTTGACTCTATTAAGCATGATTATCAATAAATATATAACAGCAACTCACCTATATCTTTATTGATAAGAGGAAACAGCTTCACCACTTTATTAATCAATTCAAACATTGTTTCATAATATTCTAACCTAGAATATACAGATTCAAAATGTAAACAATGTAGTAAAGCATGTCTTAATAAACAAATGTAACCTACCTGATGGAAAGTAGCGCTTTCTTCAGAACTAAACTGTCATCTCTTTTGGGTATTTTGGTGTTATTTTTACTGACCGAGGAAGAATCGAGCGAGATTGTCTTCTCTGCTGCTTTGTTCGGAGACAAGTTAGAGATATTAACAGCATGTATACTCGTCGAAGGACTCTTTTTTAACAGGTAATCACTGTCTATACTAGTCTGATTGGCTGGAATGAGAATTACCTGGTTCATACTACCGGTGTGATTCGGCAGAACTTTGACCATGTACGATGACACATTCTTCTGAGATTTTGGCGAAATACACTTAGAGTTTGAGTTCTGCTGATCGGCTTGCAGTTGGTTCGGTTGAACCAGAGATTCTCCGACACCTGTTTTGGTCTTTAGCGAATTGGGTAATTTCACCACCGAACTCTGAGGTACAAGAAGTATCCTGCCCTGGTTGTCCATGCACTTAACAAACGTCGTCAGCCCGTTCAGCGAAGCATTCAGATTGAGATCTGTCGTGGACGTCAGATTTCCTGCAGTCTTTTGAGATAAATTATTTTTATTATTTAATGCCACGCTCGTCACCTGAGAAACGCTGGTGGGTTCAATGGAAGTTTTAGGAAAATTAGAATTTAAAGGCACTGGAATGATTTTCTTAGGAGACGATTCTTGCAACTGTTTTGATAAATAATTCTGCAGTTGAGGAGGCTGTTGTAAAGGTTCTTGAGAGATTATTGTTTTGTTAATCGTCGGCGGAATTATGAGTAGAACCGATTTAGTCTTTTTAACGTCTTCTATCGGTAACTTAGAGTTCTTCTGATTCGACGCCGTATCTACAGTAGATTTTGGATAAGAGCAATTGTTCTCTTGCTGTTGCGCTTTGGATACATCCGAAAGAATCCCATTAGTTTCAACCAAAGGTTTATGAGTATCTACACAAGATGCTTTAAGATTATTATGAGGAGGTTCTTCGTTTTTAACTATGTCACAATTTACCGTTCCTGTATTTTTCTCTGGAGTACCTTCCGACACGGAAGAACTCCTCCTACAGTTTATGCCACTCATTTTTCGTTTGGCTTCTTTTCTGAACAACCACAGATCAACTGCCTGCGGGAAAGATTTATAAAATTGTTAAAAATAATTTATTTGATTTATTTATGTAGCAATAAGCTACTAATGAAATTAATTCAATTTTTTAGCAATTTAATACTTAGAAGAAAAAAACTTGACATTCTTTGCTGTCAAATGTTGCATACTGTTCTGGAAAGTTTTGACATGTTATAGGAAGGAGTTTAATTATAAACTTTAATTTCTATTTTCTCTATCTAAAGTGAGACTTTTTTCTTCTCACTTTAGATAAAAACAGGAGAATTGTTGACGGGAAGGACATCTCACAAAGCAACGCCAAGCTAGAGAACAGTAGCAACCCACAGTAAACAAAATGACTGAATGAATTCCTTAATCCAAAATACAGTCAAACTTCAGTTTTCAAACATAATTCATTCCTAAAATTTGTTCGAAAACCCATTTTCTGTAGCAAATTTAGACAGTGTTTAAATTTTAAAAAGTATTGTTAAATGTAAAATTAATTATAGCAATAAATGTTAAATAAGTAATGAAGTACGACACTAAGTCTATAAGAAATATGTAAATGAAATGTCATAATAGAGAGGTTGAGGTGCATGTTTTAAACGTGTAAACGTGTACGTGTGACGTTCGGCGCCGCTTTCCCGTAAGCCTAAAAGTTTGACAATGGTGTTTGGATAGTCGGTGGAATCACGCTCGACATTCCAAACACCATCGTCAAACTTTTAGGCTTACGGGAAAGCGGTGCCGAACATCACACGTACACGTTTACACGTTTAAAACGTGCGCCTCAACCTCTCTAATATGTAAAGAACACTGATATAAATGGGGTGGTGTGGTGAAGGTTTTACACAATGGAATGGAAAAACAGGTCGTTTCGTTGTTTATGTATTCAGGTGTTGATTGTACATGTTTTTTTCCTGCTTACTACATTTAGGTATGTTTAAATAAACTTTAATCACATCATCACGAAATTTATAATTTAAAAACTTATATTGAAACATGATTTTTATTAATATTTACTTGTCATAGAGTTCATACCAATGTCAAGAGGAGAAAAAGCTTTTGTTTGATGGGTAACATTGTTGATAAATGAAAAGGCAATGTATCATATTGGCAATGCAAATGCAAAGGAAGCTGTGCCGGCCATTTAAAGTTAGAAGACAACGTCCTTCGAGGGGAAGTAAGTAATGTGCCTGATGCTACAAGCAACTTGTCATTGAAAACAGTGAATGAAATTAAAGAAAGAGCCAAGCAATCAGAGGAGGTAACATCAACTATTATACAAAACTTCACTAGTGATTATCCACTTGATGTTGCAGATGTCCTTCCTAAGAAAGCAACCTTTCCAAGCATTGTCTATGCACCATTCTTGGTGCATAGACAATGCTTGGCAACCAAATATAAATATTTTAACCAAAGACCTATGGAAATTTTTGTCATCTGTGAAAGTGACAACTTATTAATTTTATCAATGCCTATCAACCAAAACTTTTTTATAGCATTTTCTTTAAAGCAAATATTGTACATTATTTTAGTATATGTGTAATAAAATGTTTAAAATCAAGCAATGATATTCGGCCAAATGTTCATTTGATCAGGGTTAGAAAGAAATAAGTTTCCCACTTCAGAGAACTCTGGAGTGTGTTCTACTGCTTGAAATGAAACAAAATTTACATTACACATAATTCAAATGACATGCTTCACATTTCTTAAATAAGAAAATAGTACAAAAAATCCATTGATGAGTGGTGCTGTAACACAAATGGTATTTATTTGCATATGTTGAACACATAGAACACCATGCAACTTTTGATTATGGGGTTTCCTGAAGGACGTCTACCATAGAAAACCTGCATCTGTGCAAATACAAGGACAGCATGGTGCCATGTTCTGGATATTCCGACAGACGCACCATGTTCAGCTGTAGAAAATATGGTTTTGTGATTAGAACACATTGTTCAAAATGACAGAAGACATACTGAACAGTTTTAGCACTACATATTCAGCATTTATATGCATAGTCAATATTTCTATGTGCTCCAGCACACCTATTGAGATTTTTGTACTATTTTTTTTTTATTTATGAAATGTCAAGTGCATCATTTCAATTATCTGTAGTCCGAATTTTGTCTCATTTTGAGCAGTAGAATGCACACCAGAGCTCTCTGAAGTGGGAAACTTATTTCTTGCTAACCCTGTAGTTTTGTCCAAATTTCCACTAGGCAAAATGGCATTTATATTATGCGAATGTCAATTAACATGATTTTTATTAATTAATTTGATTTAAATTCAAATAGTGCATACTGATCTGAAAGACAGAAATCATTTCTGAATGCTTTTGAAATGTGATTTAAATAGCAATGTCATCAATAATTCGTATGGTGACCCGAGGCGATCTTGCTGCCACTGGCTTCCGAATTGGTAGTCCTGCCATTGATCAGCCAGTCCATTGACTTTCTTTAGCATAAGAAGTATAGGACATTGACCATATCTGGTAGGCTCCGTCAAGTAGCTTGTTCGGAAACCGGGGCAAAAACAAGTTCAAAATTTAGATATAACTTTAGATATAACTGTATTAATACATTTTTGTTACTTAATTTAACTTAAGCATATTTAAACACAAATTCTTGGATGCCATTTATAATACGTGAACGTCAATTAATGTAGCTTTTATTAATTAAATTGATTTAAGATTCTACAGTGGCACATACTGAAAAATGGAAATAGATTTTGATGCCCATGTGGAAAAATTACTTATTTAAATAGCAAACTCATCGCTTATTCATGTTGTGACGTCTAATGACGCTATGTAATCTCAGCACCACTAACTTTTGAATCAGTAGTCCCATCATTGATTGGTTGATCCATCAACTTTCTTTAATGTAGGAAGTATAGGAAGTTGACCGTCTTTCTCTCTCTAATCTGTGGCCAACTCTTGCCAAGTAGATTGTTTGGAAACTGATAACTTGTTTGCCAAACAAGCTACTTGGTGCAATTGAGTTTGAAATTCTGTCTGCAAACCAAATTGTCCAAAAGTGAGGCATTTGAAAATCAAGGTTTGATTGTGTTGCTTAAAGAGCGTTAATCAGAAACAAGTTGCGCTCTTTGGACAGAATAATTCCACACGTGTTGGTAAATAAAGTTTGAATATACAAATACTTCTTTTACATTCAATAACAATCAATCTTTAAAACAGTTAACTCAAATTTAACGCAAATATATACAATATAAAAAAATAAGATATATTTAACATAAAGAAAACATTACTGTTTCTGCCCCTAGGGTCTGTAATCCGGTATACGTTTTATCAAGCTAAAATTAGAAAAATATCAACACGTTACAAATTTAACCCATTATTATTTATTATAAATGTAATATAAATGGAACAAACCTTGAGATTATGAATGATGTCGACCGGCTTATTGGACTGATTATGAAAATGCAACTGGACACGAATGGGAAACTCTCCCCAACCTCTTCTGGTGAGATGAAATGGTGGATCACTAAATAAATTATTCTATAATGAATTTCGTTTAAAACCATTACTTCATATGGTAGAATCCATTTATTACGAATGCAGAAATTGTTATCGGTTGTTTAATTAAAAAATCGACAATATTTTAAATTTGGAAGAAAATTTGTCAAATCATTTCACTAAAATACAATCATTTATATCTCGAGAACTGTGCATTTGGGTATTCTAACTTTACGGCACTTTTATTTTGCCATCTATCTATCTTAAATAAGAGAAAAGAAATTTCCCTAAAGACGTGTACACATCTCACAAATTCAACAATGGCGAAATGTGACAATAGGAGAAGCATCCCAGAAAAGTTTTAATTCCAAAATTAAAAGAAAAACCATCCATCAACTGTCGGCGTTCATCTGTTAAGAATGATACTATCCTGGGACAACCAGGTCATGTTTAAAACTTGCAACAAACAAACATAGCTTTTTACTTAGATTACAAACTATTGTATCTAAATATATAAGCAAAATTAAATGAAATGTAAGCACACATTCATTCTACTTACATTTCATAGCTTTGCAATTCTCATTTCGACTTTTTTGAAGAATTCTTTCCAAGTTTTGACAAAGACAATGCTGTCATTTTTTAATTGCAAAAATTACTGCAGCAGGTTTTAGTAATATGCAACCATTGCAGCTCCAAGGAAGCTTTATATTAAGTCATCAGCTTTTTTCTCAGAACCCACATTAACAAACAACGAGCTTGTTAGTGTGGATTCTGATGCTTCTGCATATTTTAAGAAAGTCACTAAAGTCAATATAGTGAGAAAAGAAATGGATGTTAGATATTCCTAATGTGATTATATATATATAAAAATGGACATGTATGTCCCTATATTTCACTTTTCCGCCAAACTACACATCGCACGTGAATGGTGTTTGTATGTGATAGTAGCCCCAAGTCTGCATTCGTGCATGACTTGGGGCTACTATCACATACAAACACCATTCACGCACCCTTATGCATCTCGATAGCTATAAGGGTGCGGGAGATACGAGGCTGAAAGTGGTTGAAAGTGGCTTTCTATTTCGAATGTTTTGTTTGAATTAAATTCGAACATAAAATTTGAATATTGGTTCGATTATAGAATGATTGTAAACGTTCCAGAAACGTTGAAAATACTTCGTTTCACTTGACGTGAACAGGAGACGTTCAGAAATAGAATCGGGACAAGATCTCTAATCAGAAACGGGGGACCTAATTCTTGCATTCTGTGAAAACGGGTAAGATTGGCTATAATGTAATTATCTTAATCTTCACTATCGTTACTTTTTAAAAACCCAGCGAAGCGGGTCCTTGCAGCTAGAATCTAGATTAATTAGAAAAACAATCTTCTATATATATAAAAAAACTGTATTATGTACAAATGTACGAACAAATAAAAACCCAGCAAAGCGGGTCCTTGCAGCTAGTAGCATATAAAATTGTAACTGATTTCATAATCTTGCAAAAATGTTATAAAAAGAAATAATAAACTACAGTAAAACTTCTTTAACTCAAATGTCTGTAACTTGAAAAAACAAAGTACTTGGTAGGTCTCAATGGAATAGCATAGGGATTCCATGTCTCCAAATTGAATTTCCTTAACTCAAATTTTCTTCAAATCATAGGTTTTCACAGTCCCCTGACACTGATTTATGTTACTTTCAACTTTCCCAACTCAGATTTTAATATTTATTCTATCCAAAGTGATCTTAATTATCAGATTTCCATGAAATTTTCAGACAGTTAGTTATATCTACTGTCAAAGTCTTATTTGCAGACAATGCTCCAGTCCAAAGCAAAGGGATCACTCACTTTAACTCAACAAGACATGCAAAACTGTTTGATTTTCTTAGTTACATTGAACATTTTACTGGAAGATATTCCATGGGCTGTTTAAATCAAAAAACTATCAAACATTCACTAAATAATACAAGAAATAAAAATACAAATCTACTCAGAATTGGAATTTTTCAATCTATTGTTCTCTAACCCAAATCATCTGTAACTTGAAAGTTTTTTTCTGCCAACTTATTATTATTTTTAACTCTCTTGGCCCTATGGACACTAGACGGCCTGTTTTTGCAAGCCCACAATGGGGTGGCCAAATAGTGAGGGATGAGGCCCAACATATCTGGATAAACCACCCCTGAAAATGTCCTGGGATTTTTTTAATCCATTAAGAATTGTGTTGTATTAAAAGACTATTCCAAAAAAGCATCAAACTGTTACTTTTGTGTATCATCTTAAATCACTGAAAGCAAATTTCCAAATCTATTTTAATCAGTTTCCTTTTGTGTGTAATGTTAAACAATGCTGTTACACAAATTTGCAAAGCAAAGACAAATAAATTCAGAAATATTTTGCTGAAAACTTATTGCAAATGTCAAATTCCTGTCAGATGTTTGCTCTCTGAACATTACAAATTAAGCAATGAACTACAAAATATTAAAATACTTTGTTATAAAAACTGAATGCAATTCTAATTCTAATTCTTGGAGCAAAAGACGAGAATTTTGAAGCAGTTTTACTTCAAGAAAAACAATTATTTTTAAACTATACATTTATTTTTTCATTACTACACCTGTAATAGTCAAATGTATAATCCACTTCAAAAGATAAGCAAAATACTTCCTAACATTAAATTGTGGTTTTAGTAACTTTAAAACTGAATTATATATTATCATTGAAATCAAATTAATTAACTCACCAAACTTCCACTAAATCATTTGGTCTGTAACTGGGATGAAGAAAAAACTGGACTTTTTTAATTACATTCTCTATGTGAGGATTATCTTTGCTTCCACGAACGTAAACCATCCATTTGTGGGTCGCTTGATCATTCTCGTCGCGACTGTCCGCCGGTATGTATCTATACAAAAAAAATTTATGAACTTTATTCTTAAGGATGTTACGTACGTAAACGTAAAACAAGATAATGTTTTATTATTATGTTTGCATATACGCACCCCCATTTCTTAACGTAATTCCTTGAACGTATTAGTAATGTGTTTATGTTGTGTTACTTAACATCTAAATACTTTGTTGGTTTTTTAATCTGTAAAATTTTGTCAACTTAATTTCTATAATTGTAATTTATAGAACACTGAAGAGGAACTGGAAATGTAGAAACCAGTTCGAAATGCATATGTAAAAATATAATAAAAGAATTCATTAACCTGATGCTGTAAGATAGTCTACTGAAAGAATTTGTCGGATTAAAGAGACAACCATTCACAAACGAATATACAGCTATAACCAGTAAATTCAACATATTNGAAAGAATTTGTCAGATTAAAGAGACAACCATTCACAAACGAATATACAGCTATAACCAGTAAATTCCACGTAAATCCAGTTTAAACTTCTTTTCTTGGAGCAAAATGTTTTTGGAAAATTCAAGTGCTGTCGAGTTACACTCTCATCCTCCGAAATAAAAAAGAGACTCGCGAGTGTTTGCTCGACACTTACTGTGGTTCAGTACACTCTCATTTATCTTCCTTTAATCAGTTCTGATTAATGTGATTCATATATAAACAAACTCACCAGGTTTACAGACAAATGCATATATTTATATTATGCATTTGTCTGTATGTATTTATTTATAAAATGTGTAATAATATGACGTTTTTTAATATCAGTTAAATACTGATCAAAGTTTCTTCTTATCCTGATTTCTAACAGTCAAATAATTTCAGAGAAGATAATGTAAAGTCAAGCTGTATTGCTTATTAAATTTAATTCCTAGTTCTCGACATTATTGACAAATGTTTTGTACAGAAATCAATTATTTATGCAAATAATTGTTAAATTGATTGGCAGATAAAGTCTTATAACAATGTTTAAATAATATTATCCAATGACTAATTGGTATGTATTTATAATTAACACGCTACTTACTTTGATACATTGCCGACAATAATGGATAACTTCCTTTTGAGTCTCACTCCGTGGTTTATGTCGTTTTCTTTAATATTGTGCGTATCTACAGACTGAGACTTCAAAAACAATGATAATAAATACAATAAAATGTTTAAATTAAATAAGAAATTTCCAAAATCCCTAAAATAAACACTTACAATGGCAGTGGAATCGAGATCACTCAAAGAAATCTTCGAATTTGGAGAATAATTATTAACAGTCTTTTCTTGTGGATGGAATTTTGGAGATTTTCCGAGACATTTCTTCACCGTGGGATGTACAGATGGACTACTCTGAACAACCTAATTGGAAAACAATGCCTTTATTGGTTACATTTTTTGACATTGGAGTGGGGCCACCCCATATAACATCGTTAAAATGCATCATCATCGGACAGGTGAGTCCTCTAAGTTTCAGCCTTCTATCTTAATTAGAAGTGGATGAAATTTAAGTTGCATTGCAAAACTCAAGGACAAGATACAAAGCAATTTAAAGAAAAATGATTACGCAGTCTCAAGCTATTCATTAGAAACACAAATACGTTAAGGATATGCGACACATGCATTCAGCAAGACTATTCACTAAATACCTTCAATTCATTCATTACTGTGTACAAATAACTCAAGAAAGCTAATCTAAAGAGAAGTAAGAAACTATTTATCATGAAGAAACATAAAATTCTGTTCAAAAATAATAAAATTAAATACCTGTTCACCATTTGAAGAATAGTACTTCATCACTATACATGCCCTTAAACGATCTAAAATTATTCTTGCTTCATGAAGTTTCTGTAAGAAATATTTAATGTTAAGAGTGAGTAAACATAATATAGAATTGTGAAAACTTACCAATCATTCCGTCAACAGTCATCCTTGAATAAACAGCAAAGTCAAATCAAACAAACTGCCATATTATCAGGCTACAATATATCTAAATTGGCCTTATTGTAGCTCAATAATATGCTAACGTGTTTGGTTTGGCTTTCATTATTATTCAAGTTTGTAGATATATTTTTATAAACAGCAGAGCTGAAAGTTGAAAAAAGTGATAGACAGCGCACTGTTTATTAGGTTGGTTGAATTTGGGGTTTTGCGGCACAAGGGGTAGGCCGAAAAGTGCCAGATTTAGCCAGTTATATTACTGTATGCCCTCTTGAGTTACTCCGTTTATTAGTAAAAATACGGTATTTAATGTCATCTTGATCTAAAAAGAAAATTATGGTCGATAAAAATAGAAAATATTATTTTCTATCGACTATTATCTTTGTAATAAAAATGAAAAATTTTCTCACTTTTTGCATGAAAATAGTCCCATGCTATTTTCCGTATAAAAAACCCAAGTATTACCTCCCAGATAATTAATTATAAGCTGAATCGAGTGCTTAAAATCTCCGTTCCCAATGGCAGTGTTAGCGTGTTTTTTCTTTAAAACTTAAACATTTGTTTAGTATAATCAATTCGGATAATTGGGATAATCTCATTTGCATTTCCTTTCCCAAACTATTATTATTTTAAATTGAATTTGAGTGATGCCGTATGTCATTGAGGTTACTGTGCTCTAGGGTTGTCATCCGTAAAATATTTATTGTATTTGTATGATTATTCCAGGGGCGTGCAATCTACGATAATGAGATTTTGTATGATAACTTCAAAAATACTCTATACTCTTGAAATAATTTAATTTGCAATTACCATTTCTGTACTATGCATATTGCCTTCTCGTTGACATTTTGTGTCCTTTTCTCATCTAGAGCTACCAAATTTTCAGAATTTTTTGCTTAGATTGGTCAGTACTGTATATTCTTCATAAGGTGCGCCTTTTTCATACTTTTTGAGATGGCTAACTGTGGTACTTTTATACCAACTTATAAAATGCTCAAATTGATGTACAAAGAAAATTTTTATAAATAAACATTCTGTTAAAATGCCATTATATTTCAACTTGTACAAAATATAACTACTATATTAATACATTTTATTACATAGTAGTTTCTGTCTAGTGAGCTGTCTAGAACTGGGCCTTATAGGACACAATCCTTGTACTGGCTGGGTACAGAGAGACAATCCTTTGCACTTACTGACATAGACAGGCAATCGAAGAACAAAGCAATTGAAGGTGATTGCTTTGTTCTTGTGTTTTGTTTGTTTTCCCACCTATTTTTCATTAAGCTAATGCGATGCTGTTTTTATTTTTGACACCGAGACCTAAATTCTGTTACGTGCACCCTTCCTCATCAGAGTATGGATGGACATTGTCACTTTAATGCCTCTTACATTGAATTATTACATTACATTGAATACAGAGCCACAGACTCCTAATTTTTACATTTAAATGCACCCTCATTAGGCTTTTGGATTCATCACAATTAATGGAAAATGGCAAAGGTTTATCAAAATGGGGCCATTAAATTTTGAAAACAAACTTGATTCTATAAGTCTATAGAGCCTTCACTAATGACTGAAACATTGCATGACAAATTTGAGATTTGTGTGATATCACTTTGTCGTGCTTGCTCATGCTATAACCTTATATCTCAAAAACGAAGTCATGAATCCCCATTTTTTTTATTACTTTTCTCATTGGAACTAATAGAAAATGGCCAAGTTTAATCAAAATCAATCAAACAGATTTTGAGAACGACTACAATTCTGTACGCTACATAGAAGAGGCTTCACTAGCACTCCGTCTCAATAATTAATTGTTATTGTTCAATATGTTAAAATTGTAAAAAAGATGTAAATTTTAGATTATACCACTTAGAGATTTGTTCTGTACAATATATTATAAGGAAAGAGTCATAAAAACTTCATTGTAAATGGGGATTAAACAATTTGTTGTTGTAAGAAGGGGGTCTTGATAAAAAGTTTGAAAGATTCTGATGTAGATTCCTCTATGTCAGAATCTATGGATAGACGGAGTAAGTGTAACAGATCAAGATGGCTGTAACTGTACCCAAAATGATATAAAATGACTGGTAATTGATGAACAATGCTTTAACTAGAAAACAATAACAACTAGACATTTTAATTATTAGACCAGCGATTGCTTTTTGTAACAAACATCCCTTTAAACCTGAAATTACAATAGCAAACAAACTAACCTCGTCAATTAACTGTAGTTCAGCTTCTTTCATCTTTATTTCTTTATTAAACTGCATTCGGATTATTTTCTCTATTTTCTTTATCGTAAATTCACGAGCTAAAATGCACAAAAATTGATTCTTTAGTTAAATTTGTTAGTTCATTACGCACTATTTTCTAAGAAAAACATGCAAATAGAAAAAAAATCTAACCATCTTGTTCAATGAGACGCAATCTCTTCTGCTGAAGTTCAGCAGGAATACTCTCATAGTCGGGATCTTGGTCTATCTGACGTTTCGTCGTCATGTTTATGGAATTTCTGAAATCCAAACAGACACCATTTAGTCAGATAATCTTACATTTAATTCAAAGAAAAGAAGTGCTTCAGTGTCAAGAATCCGAACAAAACTGTCAGAGATGTAAAAAAAATTTTGCCAAGTAAAAACTTATTACATTTCTGATGTTTTTTGTTTAATAATTCTATTATTAAACAAAAACAGACGTAAGATCGGTCAGTGCTTGGCGGCCATAGACTCAACACACCACTGACCAAATGCTTTCAATATTCATTTCAGTTGGCGCCGACCGAACAATGCTTTCAATAAGCCATTTAGAAAAATCATAAAAGTTTCAATTGGCATAAATTTGAAGTTTTGAGTAATATTTTGAATAAAGTTTATTTGTTTCCATGCAATTTTATCTTTATAAGCATAAAATTAAGTCATAAAACTAAATTAGCACTATGAGTAACCCCCGTGAACTTTGACCTATCCTCCCGAAAATTTTGTGAGCACCTCACCTATAACAAGAAAGGCTTAAGTTTAAAATTTGAGCTTTCTAGATCCATTAATTTTTTCTCTAAGAGTTTCTGCACTGCCAGGATAAAAGAAGGTGATTTTGGCATTTTTCAATTGCTTATATTTGCAGGTTACCAGAGGATGCCTGCAGGGCTCGAGAAGTGGACTGGGCCTCTGGAACCTGGCATTCGACAGCCTGTTAGAAGTGTACAGCCAAACTGTGAGCATAGATACAGGCATTTGCAAATGATGTCGTTCTAATGATAGCAAACAAGAATTGCAACAGGCTAACAGAGGAAGGAAACACAGCCCTGGAGAAAATAAACAAGTGGAGTCAAACACATAAACTGGAAATAAATTATAAAATATGTGAGATCCTGGTGTATTCAAAAAAATTAGGAAGAGGACAACTTAAAAAACAAATTGGCATGGAAAGAAAATCAAAAACGAGTTGAGATACCTGGCATCTTTTTTTACAGGGCACTCAGCTGGAAAGGACACACAAATAAAATCCACCAAAGAATGCTTGAGAAAAGCAACACACTCGTGCAAATTTCTAGAAATGTCTGGGGCTTGAACCACCAATCAGCAAGATTAATATATAGTGCGGCAATTGAGCCTACGATCCTACGATCCTATACGGTGTACAGATGTGAGGCGAATTGGCAAACGAAGTTGAAACAAAAAGAAAACAATGATAAATACAAAGGAAATTAATTAAAAATAACATTTGCAAGGCTTACAGAATGGTCCCGACTGATGCACTGTCGGTTCTAGCAAGTATCTTACCAATAGACCTCAGGGCCAAACAACTTGTATGGGAATGGTCCCTAATAAAGGAAGATGTTAATAGCTTAAACAATAAAGAAATAGAAGACAAAATCAAGAAGGAAAAATTACCATCAGATATTGGTGAACTCATTCAAGAAATAAAGGTAAACCAACTGGAAAAAGCAACGAAAAACATGGACACAATTAGACAACCAGTGGAAGAGAACAGTTATAAAGCAGACATAGATCAAGCACATAACCAGAGAGAACAATGGAAAATTTTTACAGATGGATCAAAGAACACAGAAGGCTCTGGAGCTGGAATAGTCATATACAACCCAAAAAATTTTAAAACATATCAGGCAAGTTTAAAAATGGTTAAATATTGCATGATTACCAAGCAGAGCTCTGGGCAGTCTTCAAGGCTTTGCAAGACATAGACAATAAACACCAGAGTTTTAAGGGACCAATAAAGATACACAGATATCAGAGTCATAATCCACACACCTAGGAATCAAAACAGAAGGACACAACTGGCCAACGAACTTATTAAATTGGCCCAGAAATTAAGCAAAAATAAAATAATAAAATTCCACAACGTTCCACACGCCAGCTGATTCCTGTCGTTTCCCCGGACACAAGGGAAATGACAGGAATGAGCTGGTGGATAAGTTGGCAAAGAGGGCCACAATAGAAAATCTTTCAACAACATATAAAAAAAATAACGTTTACTATTGTCAAGAATAAGATCAAAGAGATAGTCGAACAACAATGGCAGGAGGAGTGGGAACACTCCACAACTGGGAGATTTCTATAGAGATTCATAGCAACAACCAACAAGAGACAGACAGACATCTTAGATCCAACTATGAGGTCATACAGTGTCTGCTAGGACATGGAAATTTCAACATATATCTTTTCTGCTTTGGCAGAAGAAACAGCGATAAGTGTGATACTGATACCAACAAAACAGATGATGTCTCTAACTGTCTCTACGAATGTAGCAAGTATGAACACCAACGAGAGAAATTCCAAGTGTGTTATGGCTGGATCTAACTGGCCACTAAAAGAGTGAAATGATTCAAAACAGAACCCTATATGGACATCTTTGCAACTTCATTATAGCAACCAGAAAGCTATTGTGAACAAAGGAAAGAAGGAACAAAAACCAACAAGATGGTAACCCAATGAACAATGGACTGACACTGACATCTCAAGAAGAGACTGGCAGACATTCGGAATAGCATCTGGACCAATACAACAGAATTGATATTGTGTAAATAATGTAAATACTATCAAATTGTTAAGCTTAAATTGTTTAACTTTGATAATTGCATTGTTGGCAAAGCAGCCACAATTGTAAATTTTTATATATTTTGTGTATTGTCATTTTGTTATTTGTTTTTTTTTTTAAATAATGCCGGGTTTAGGCGACTCATGTGATCCCCTGACTTCACTTTCTATCCTTCACCCTACTCTCCAACTTTTATTCTTTGTTTCTTTCATTTCTTTAAGGACTAAGTCTGTCAGCAAGACAGACAGCTCTCTTAAACTTTACCCTGAATAAAAAAAAAAATTTGCTTATATTTCGGCAACTCGGCTTTATAGAAAATCTTTAAATTTTGCACACTACCTAAGAAAACAATTGTCTTTTCAACAAGATATTTGGAATTACTTCACGTGTTTCGGAGACGAAAAATTGAGCCCCCAAAATTGACAACTCTGATTCCTGTATGTGTAGTCAGTCAGTGACTTTTATACTTGTTGGGGAGTCACTGCCATGACTCCTGTTTTCATTAAAAATAAACTGCAACAAAAACACCCAAATGTTATTCTTTCTGGATAATTAATTAACAAACATTTTTAATTCTTTTAATTATTACAACTATTAATGTGCAGCATCAGGTCAATGCAGCTAAGACATCAACCTATCTCTCTGAGGTTCTGGGATCAAAGCAGATGAGCAACCCAGTCAACTTTTCACAGGTGGTAAATGTTCCGAACACATCAATCTTCATTCCTCTCCACTGGCTGCTTCTTTATGGGTTTGGCACAAATATGGATAACAAAGAGACGTCCATAATATATTATAGGATTCTAAACCAATTCAAATCTAGTCCTTCAATATGGGAGACTGACAACATAGTCACACTGCTGTCTGGCTTAAATTTGTACTGCAAACTGATAAAGAAAATAAAATTTTAAATAAATAATCCTGGTTTGAAAGATAAATGTACACTTCTACAAAAGGTAAGTCCTTGAACTTTGAAAATCATCTCTCAGTGAGAGGAGTGTGTTTGTTTTCCACTAAAATCTTCAGATTTTATGATCAAAGAGACTCGAACTGTATTTTGAATATCTGGATTTTTGCTCAGAGAATATTAAGGTTCTTTAACTATTTCTGTCTTGTGGGCACTGAGGGCTGATTTTCTTTCACACTCATTGCGGGTTTGACCAGGCTCACAATAGGAAGGAGTAATGAAGGATGGAACCCACATATCCAAGTAGGTGATACCGAGTAGTGTCATTAAGCAGAATGATTACATTGTGATGTCACTTAAACGATCGGCAGGAAATGAGATACTAAACCATGTGGCATTCTCATTATAAACAACACTTTCAGCAAAAGAAAGTTGTCAACGAAAGGTTGGTATGAACAACTAAACAACTGTCAATTATATAATTAAATACCTATTTAACTGAAACATAGGCAAGATTATTACTTTCATTTTAAAACTATATTGTTTAATTAATTTATACTGTATTTATGAACTTGCTGTAACTCCATGTGGTGTTAATAATGTGATCAAAATGGGAAGAAATGATCCTCATTGCCAACTGGTCAATTTCCACTATTGGTGACGAATGTAAGACATTGCAATTTGTATGTTCATTTCAAGGTGAATGATTGTGTACAAACCTAACGAGAACAGTAAAGCTGTAATTGCATATCGCTTTAGATCATACATTCATTAGAAATGATCATTGGCGTTAAGTAGCTGAAATCTTTTCACAATAACAGTTGTTGCATTCAGTATTGCCTCCCAGCATGGAGAACCAAAGAAAAATTCCCAGGAAGTTGCTCGATTCGATCCTAGGTCTTGTGGAGTGGTAGACAAATGCCTTAACCCTCTCAGCCATCCTTACAATTTATATCCGTGCAGATCGTAAAGTAGAACTAATCTCCTTTTATGACTAGTATGAATTTTCTATGAACACTGCATAAAATTCCACATCTCTCTGTTGGCCATCTTGTGTGGTCCTAAAGTCTGTGTGTACTTTTACACTTGAAAAAATATTTAATACAATTCATAAATATTGTGCACATTAACTTGCGGAATAATCAATAACAGCTGTTGGAAAAAAATACATTTATCCCTCTTTTTATACTATGTTACCTTGTGTTTACTATATTTGCATACAAATAATGTTAAGTGTTTTTATGTTAACATTATTTATCGTTATTTCTTTTGTAGATCGCTTATCATTTTGTTCCATTGAAGTTGTGGATTCTTTAAATATTTTTCTACAGGATACACATACTATACTTTTTACACAGCATTCTTTGGAATATATCCACCATGCAAAAAGAAAAATAGATGCGCACTAATATTTTGGTAAACAAGACATTATGTCTTTGATTCTATATCCAAAGCATGTAATTTATTTACTCTTTGACTCTTGCCACTTATCTATGTGAAACAATGTCAAAAGTTAGGCTCTCAAGTACAATTTAATGCATAATTTTAACTTTTGTATATCCTTAGTTACTGCGGTATAAAACTGCTAGTGGACTTTAGGGCCACTCTATAATAAACAATATTTCCAGAAACACAACCTCAATTTACAACACTAGACTTGCAATAAATAGGAAATTATTTCAAAAGCCAAATTAATGGTTACATTCCAGTATGCATCATGTGTTACACCAATGAACCGCAACATGCTAAAATCTGTTCAGATATTTACCGACAAGTTCAACAATGCTATAGATATTGAATATTTCAGTGCTAAAGAAAGTTAAATAATGACAAATTACCCATTTTTATTGTCAAATAAATTATAAACACTGACTTTTTACATTTCTAAAACACTGAAAAAGACTATTTTTAGATGAACAAATATTAGAATTAATCAATTGACAGTAATTCAAGGTAGATACACGTGGCAAAATTAAAATTGCATTGAGTGTAAATTACTCAGACATAAATTGTTTCTTTTGACAACTGATCAAATGTTGCCTTAATTTTGCCACCTTCATTGTTTATCTTGTTTCTATTATCAAAGAATACAGCAATGATTTATAAATTAATTTCAAGAAGTACTCAGATATTTCTGTCAGCAATTGTCATATGAAAATGTAGACTGTATGCTTACATAATTCTTCCAAATTTATTAATAATTTAGGAATAAAATTAGTTTAACACAAATAAATTATCATTCACATGCTGATATGTTAAAAATTAAAATAATAATACAAATAGATATAAACCATATTCATTCAGTTTGACCACCAGTGACCAAGCTGTTCTGTTCCCTGAACACTGGGAGTTTGGTCATGGGTTCGCACCTCATTCGGACGGGCCAACCACGCATAGTTTACCAGATTTTCTCCACATCTGTAATGCCTGAATACGGGCCAGTTACCCTTAAAAAGATCTCCCGGAAGGCATTCCCCTAGGCAGAACACCCAAGTGTTGCATTGCCATAACTTAACAAAACAAACAAACATTCATTCAGTTCAATACAACATACTTCAACACTCAACACTGGCAAACTACACATAGTTTTAGAAATTTAGTTCATAGTAAAGTCCTTTTACATCACATTTGTTACTGTAGCTACCTGAATTTGTCAGTTAAGTAATACATAAGGACTTTACTAAGCACCCTATATTATAAAAAAAACTAACAGTAATGAAAAATTTAATATTTCTTAAGTTTGTTAAGTCTGTAGTCAGCCCACCAAAGTAAAACAACTTAGACTCTCGCTGTAACTGTCATCCATAATTTAGTGAGAAGTCTACAGTAGGTAGAGCTCAAACTAACAAGTAAGTAGAAAATGAAAGCCATACTTATGCAAAATCATTAATCAAATTTCCTGTCTCCATCGTGAGCCACGTGATACAGCTGAATCCAGAGCATTGAATTTTCTAACATTCAACATGCTCTGTGAAGCAGTTAAAGAAGCCTGATTTACTGACAAGACAGAACTGAATCATTCATTGAGATAATGATCCTTAGCATTGGTCATTTCTAGTCAACAGATGTCTTTCCCTACCTATTTTCTCTTTCGATTTTTTCCATACAGACTGCTTTATCCATTTCTTAAATTGAAAGAGAAGTTGAGGAATTGCAAATTCCAAATCAGCAGCAGAAGTGGAAACTGTAGCAACAAATGCTCTTAAAGATCATCAAGAAAAAAGTTGTTAAACAATGCATAGACTCTGGAGAAGTGAATAGTTACTACTTCCCTTAAATTTCCTAAAAGAATCTTGCTTATTGTGTATAAACACAAAGGATGCACAAACAATAGCTTTAGAAGGAATCTTCAGAATAATCACTTCACACAAAAGAATTACAACTGCCTACAAACTGGCTGATTAGTCCATTGGTACGTTACACTGGTGCATTATAGGCAGTGGCATGTTGCTGAATTAAAACACTATTTCCTAAATTCATATATCATATTTTATTAAAATTTAATATGATTTGTACATTTTTCATTTACTTAAGTAGTGAATTTAAGTTCATAAAACAAATTTGAAAATTATTATTAAACAAATACTAAAGTCAACTCGCCCTTCTGTGTAAAAACAACATTTAAGCTGTAGCTTATATTCCAAAAATTATGGTAAATTGGCAACACATTTGAAAAGAATCTTTGGTTTTGTAATGGATGTTGCAACTTGCTAATTAATTCAAATACAAGAGACGTCAAAAAAAAAGAGGCGACTTCTGCATATAAGGAAACAATGTAACAAATTTTTTTTTAACAAACATTATATTTAAAAAGACTGCTGTCTTCTAATTTTGTATGGAAGAGTGTCAATCACTGATTGGCTATTCAATTTAAAGACATACGAAAGTGATATTGTATCCAATTTCAATTCTGTAATAGATACAGTAAGGAGTGAAAAATACTATTTTGCATTGAAATTCTATTATTGCATTAAAGAACAGTCAATAAAGCATACAAAAAAAAATGTTTGATTATGCAAATGAGGTTAGAGATAATTACGACCATTCCAGAAGTTATTATTGCCACAAAACACATTACAATAAAATGTAGTAATGTCTCAGCCGAGCATACAGGTCACTAATTGGAGAAATTCACCAAAACACTAGGAAACTGCATTTTAAAAG